CCCTGAAACAGATGTATCCCCCGCGTCCCTGAAACAGATGTATTCCTGCATTTAGAAACAGATGTATCCCATGTATCCCTGATACAGATGTATCCCTTGTATCCCTGAAACAGGTGTATTCCCAGCATCCCTGAAACAGATGTATCCCCTGCGTCTCTGAAACAGGTGTATTCCCTGCATCCCTGAAACAGATGTATTCCTGCATCACTGGAACAGATGTATTCCTGCATCCCTGAAACAGATGTATTCCTGCATCCCTGAAACTGATATATTCCTGCATCCCTGAAACTGATATATTCCTGCATCCCTGAAACTGATATATTCCTGCATCACTGGAACAGATGTATTCCTGCATCACTGGAACAGATGTATTCCTGCATCCCTGAAACTGATATATTCCTGCATCACTGAAAAAAATGTATCCCTATATCCCTGAAAAAGATGTATTCCTGCATCCCTGAAACAGATGTATTCCTATATCCCTGAAACAGATGTATTCCTGCGTCCTTGAAACAGATGTATCCCTTGCGTGCCTGAAACAGGTGTATTTCTGCGTCCCTGAAACAGATGTTTTCCCAGCATCCCTGAAACAGATGTATTCTCTGCGACCCTGGAACAGATGTATCCCCTGCTCCCTGAAACAGATGTATTTCTGCATCCCTGAAACAGATGTATCCCTTGCGTCCCTGAAACAGGTGCATTCTCTGCGTCCCTGAAACAGATCTATTCCTGCGTCCCTGGAACAGATGTATTCCCAGCATCCCTGGAACAGATGTATCCCCTGCGTCTCTGAAACAGATGTATTCCCTGCATCCCTGAAACAGATGTATTCCTGCATCACTGGAACAGATGTATTCCTGAATCCCTGAAACAGATGTATTCTCTGCGTCCCTGAAACAGATGTATTCCTGCATCCCTGAAACAGATGTATTCTCTGCGTCCCTGAAACAGATGTACTCCTACATCCCTGAAACAGTTGTATCCCATGTATCCCTGAAACAGATGTATTCTCTACGTCCCTGAAACAGATGTTTCCCACGTATCCCTGAAACAGATGTATTCTCTGCGTCCCTGAAACAGATGTATTCCTGCATCCCTGAAACAGATGTATTCTCTACGTCCCTGAAACAGATGTATTCCTGTATCCCTGAAACAGATGTATTCTCTACGTCCCTGAAACAGTTGTATCCCATGTATCCCTGAAACAGATGTATTCCTGCATCCCTGAAACAGATGTATTCTCTGCGTCCCTGAAACAGATGTATTCCTGCATCCCTGAAACAGATGTATTCTCTGCGTCCCTGAAACAGATGTACTCCTACATCCCTGAAACAGTTGTATCCCATGTATCCCTGAAACAGATGTATTCTCTACGTCCCTGAAACAGATGTTTCCCACGTATCCCTGAAACAGATGTATTCTCTACGTCCCTGAAACAGTTGTATCCCATGTATCCCTGAAACAGGTGTATTCTCTGCGTCCCTGAAGCAGATGTACTCCTACATCCCTGAAACAGATGTATTCCTGCGTCCCTGAAACTGATGTATTCCTGCATTTAGAAACAGATGTATTCCAACAACCCTGAAACTGATGTATTCCTGCAATCCCGAAATAGATGTATCCCCTGTATCCCTGAAACAGATGTATCCCCTGCGTCCCTGAAACAGATGTACTCCTACATCCCAGAAACAGATGTATTCCAACAACCCTGAAACTGATGTATTCCTGCATCCCTGAAACAGATGTATTCCTGCATCCCTGAAACAGATGTAGTCCTGCGTCCCTGAAACAGATGTACTCCTGCATCCCTGAAACTGATGTATTCCTGCATCCCTGAAACAGATGTATTCCTGCATCCCTGAAACTGATGTATTCCTGCATCCCTGAAACAGATGGATTCCTATCTCCCTGAAACAGATGTATCCCCTGCGTCCCTGAAACAGATGTACTCCTGCATCCCTGAAACTGATGTATTCCTGCATCCCTGAAACAGATGTATTCCTGCATCCCTGAAACAGATGGATTCCTATCTCCCTGAAACAGATGTATCCCCTGCGTCCCTGAAACAGATGTATTCCAACAACCCTGAAACTGATGTATTCCTGCATCCCTGAAACAGATGTATTCCTGCATCCCTGAAACAGATGTATCCCCTGCGTCCCTGAAACAGATGTACTCCTGCATCCCTGAAACTGATGTATTCCTGCATCCCTGAAACAGACGTATTCCTGCATCCCTGAAACTGATGTATTCCTGCATCCCTGAAACAGATGTATTCCTGCATCCCTGAAACAGATGGATTCCTATCTCCCTGAAACAGATGTATCCCCTGCGTCCCTGAAACAGATGTATTCTCTGCGTCCCTGAAACAGATCTAGTCCTGCATCCCTGAAACAGATCTAGTCCTGCATCCCTGAAACAGATCTAGTCCTGCATCCCTGAAACAGATCTAGTCCTGCATCCCTGAAACAGATCTAGTCCTGCATCCCTGAAACAGATGTAGTCCTGCATCCCTTAAACAGATGTATTCCTGCATCCCTGAAACAGATGTATTCCTGCATCCCTGAAACAGATGTATTCCTGCATCCCTGAAACTGATGTATTCCTGCATCCCTGAAACTGATGTATTCCTGCATCCCTGAAACAGATGTATTCCTGCATCCCTGAAACTGATGTATTCCTGCATCCCTGAAACAGATGTATTCCTGCATCCCTGAAACAGATGTATTCCTGCATCCCTGAAACTGATGTATTCCTGCATCCCTGAAACAGATGTATTCCTGCATCCCTGAAACAGATGTATTCCTGCATCCCTGAAACTGATGTATTCCTGCATCCCTGAAACAGATGTATTCCTGCATCCCTGAAACTGATGTATTCCTGCATCCCTGAAACAGATGTATTCCTGCATCCCTGAAACAGATGGATTCCTATCTCCCTGAAACAGATGTATCCCCTGCGTCCCTGAAACAGATGTATTCTCTGCGTCCCTGAAACAGATCTAGTCCTGCATCCCTGAAACAGATGTAGTCCTGCATCCCTGAAACAGATCTAGTCCTGCATCCCTGAAACAGATGTAGTCCTGCATCCCTTAAACAGATGTATTCTCTGCGTCCTTGAAACAGATGTATCCCCTGCATCCCTGAAAAAATTTATTCCTGCATCCCTGAAAAAAATGTATTCCTGCATCCCTGAAACAGATGTTTTCCCTGCATCCCTGAAAAAGATGTATTCCTGCCTCCCTGAAACAGATTATATCCCCTGCATCCCTGAAACAGATTCTATCCCCTGCATCCCTGAAACAGATGTATTCTCTGCACCCCTGAAACAGATGTACTCCTACATCCCTGAAACAGATGTATTTCTGCATCCCTGAAACAGATGTATTCCTGCATCCCTGAAACAGATGTATTCCTGCATCCCTGAAACAGATGTACTCCTGCATCCCTGAAACAGATGTATTCCTGCATCCCTGAAACAGATGTATTCCTGAACCAGCTTAGAGCGGGACCCTGCATCACGAAGTTTACAATCACGTCACAATACCCTATGACGTAATTTGCGGATTTGTGTTGCAAGATGCACTGACGAAACAATACCATGTGACGTCAGCCTAGTGACAGGATTGCTGGAGTCATCGAGTGTGGATAAGCTCCTCTCAGTGATCTACCTTCTCTACACGCAATGTCGTTTAATTAGACCAGGGATGTTGGGAGTTTGTAATATTTGTTAGTGAAACTTGTTCCCGCAGTAAATAAGCACGCGCTTTGGTATTACACAATGTGTAATACAGCTGTGTGTTTATTAAACAGGTGATCTCTTCACGGGCGAGTAATAAATGTATTAGTTCATTGTGTGTCCTCTCTTATTGCCTACAGTGTTATCAAAACAACTCCATGGCGCAGGGCACATAATAGCAGAACCATCATCCCTATATACTGTAATGAACTTATCCATGCAATACCATTGTCAACAAACAAGGAATAATTTTAGACTTGTAGCAGACTTGCAGTTTATTTCATATATAGGCTATATTTAGTATACAAATATTCAAAACTCTCAACATCGCTGGGCGTATTCAATGACATTGCGCGTAGAGATGATAGATCACTGGGAGGAGCTTATGCACAGTCCATGATCCCCGACGTAACTGGCATTGTTTTGCCGTTGTGACTGGCAACAAAATACTACAAATTACGCCATAGGGTATTGTCACGTGTTTGCGGTACTGTATTCTTAAGGTAGGCCGCGAACGCTTCAACCCCACCGCCCCTATGACTTTTGTGTTTATTTTATGATCATTCGACATCAGCTTCCAAAACAGCAATAATCTGAGAGCATCTGAAAAGCATCTGACATGCCACACTCCGGCGCAGTGGTGACTTGGCGGCATGGAACTATGTATGAGCAGGGGTGCGTTGCAAAGCGCCAATCGCTTGTAAGCGATGTACAGTGATTCGCCTTACAACAGTGCGCTAACTTTCAGCCGCTTGCAAGCGAAACAATCGCTGACTGAGGTCGCTTCATTCTCAAACCAAAATGGCGGCTTACTTTGACAGCGGAACAAGGAATTCTTGACTGGATCAACGAGAAAATGAGCAGCGTTGATCCAAAGGTAGCTAACACACCATCATCCTCAGTCTGCTCCACATCTTCAAAGTAGTCATAAATTTCATCAGCTCGTCATCGAGCCTCTTCTATTACGTTCTTCATTACGCGGATGGTCAAGCTCGCTGACTTGGTTGATGCATGTCATCGTATCCCAATTACGTGGATAGATGCTCATGATGTCAATCACTGGATTTTCTGGTCCAGACTCGATTATTTACAAACGCGCCCCTGAACTATGTGCATTATTTTCCATTGTGACGTTACTGCATAAACATCGTTCTATTGTCATGTTACTGTTTCTGCCGTCACAATGCTCCCGCGCAGTACGTGGATGTTAAATGACGTCATAGTTGTGTCTATGACGTCATCTACTCTTTGGCATTTTGGCATCGTTACGGCCGCGGCATCAAGATGAGCAGCAGGGCGTCTATGTCGCGATCACCGATGGGGGTGATCTCCGAGTCCAGTGAATGTCAGGGGAGTGAGGTGTCTTGGTCTCCTCGCAACGAGACACAGTCTCCCACTGGCAACGACGATGAATACGACACAGACCTCGAGGTAGAAGAAGAAACGGAGACCTTTGACATGACAGGGAGGAATCGCTACATCAACGCCTGCAAAAGCCACGGGATAGTTCCTGCTAGTTACTTCCTCCGTCACATGCAGGACGAAGAACTCAACATGCAACACCACGGCCTTGGAGCTGTCGGGGTCAAGGTCATGTCATTTCCGCTACAGATTAACACATCGGTTGTGAATTTGAACCTGGAGGACAACTGGATGGAGGGGGAAGGGGGAGTGTATGTGTCCGCCATGCTGAAAGATAACTGTTTCATTTCAGAGTTGAACATCGCCTGGAACAAGCTAGGTCGACGAGGAGCTCTAGCCGTCTGCGATATGCTAATGTCAAACACCACGCTAGAGGTGCTGGATTTGACAGGGAACCAAATCACTGATGCAGAGGCGCAATACATAGCTGATGCTTTGAATGAAAACAACCGCGTAAGAATATTAAAACTTGGTCACAACCAGCTCGGGGATGCTTCCGCGGCTTTATTAGGTCCAGCAATTTGCGAAAACGACACGGTTGAAGAAATCGACTTGAGCTGGAACTACTTCCGACCCAAAGGAGCCAAGTACCTTTGTGACGGCATCAAAGCAAACACCAGACTAAAGATTGTGGATTTTTCTTTCAACGGATTTGGCAACGAAGGAGCAATTGGAGTTTACGACATCCTGAAGTTGAACCAAGTGCTGACCGATCTGAGACTCAGCTACAACCGAATATCAACCCCCGGAGCACTGCTAATCGCTAAAGGCATGGAGGCAAACGAAATGCTGAAGATACTGACATTGGATCATAACCCAATCGGAGTGGATGGTACGAAGGCTATTCTAAGAGCCATAATGTCGGAAAATTGTGCCATCACCCAGTTCGACATATCAGGTGTCGAGGTGGACAAGGAATTCATAGCTACAAAGAAGGAGTTCCAAGAGGGCAAAGACGTCACAATCCTGCACGGCTTGGTTCTTGGGGACTACGTCATCAAGCCACGCCCGAAGAAGAAGTCGGCCATGTTGTTTAACGTTCCCATTGCGGAGGTAAACGCAGGGAATTTATTCGAACATCTAAAGCGTTATTGCGAGGAGGAAAACGTCAACGTTGTTGACGTTCTGTTGTCGTTGGACAAGCGACGTGAACAACGACTCGCGGCGACAGACGTCATCAGCACCATCGTGACATCGGGACTCCCGATCACGGAGGAACAAGTGAACATCGTGGTGTCGCTGCTCAGTGAGATGGAGAATAGCGACGGCTTCGTGGACATCAGCCCCCTCGTCGGTGTCGACAGCTGATACGACTACTACATGGTCACAGGACTTGTAAATGCGTTATATATGTTGATGTTATTCATAAAATATTCAGCGTGCCTGAAGTGATTTTGTTGTTGGTAAAATATGTCCAAAATGGGGGTTGGATGGTCGCGATTTGATAACCACCTCGCAGCCAATGGGTCCACTTGTACAAAGCGATCTTAGCGCTACGACTATCGTAAGCATAATTAGCACTAAGATGGTTTTTCTATAAGTGGAACCCTGGTCTCTCACATTTCGAACAGTGACTAAACCGTACTATTTGTATATTTTATAAATATGATTAATGATTTGACGGTGATGATGGTCACTTCGGTGCCGTTATATTGGCCTTCTAGGGCATGCATTGGCCATTGCGTTGTAACTGAGTGCATTATGCATATTGTATGTTTTCATGACCTGTACATAAACTGCTTATTATCAACTACGTGCGTACGAATGAAATATGCTTATCTGTTTCTGTTTTGATAATGTCATCGCGCTTACACACACCTATATATATATATAACATTGTTAGTCCCTGTAAATCATGTCAGTCTGTACATTCCGTGTCTTCAGAGTAAATACCCAGACGATTCGTGTTGTGTGTATTTCAATAACATGCATAAATTATTATTTCTACTGACTTAGTCTTGTGCTTTTTAGCAGTGGGTGAGCAATATGAAATTATTCAGCACATCACTATAAAGAGGTGAGGTGAAATAGGGTTTAACGTCGCGTCCAAGATTATTGCACTTATATAGCGACGTGCATGCACGCGTGTGTGGCTGCTTGTACTAGTCCGGACTGATGCCGATTTAAAGTGGTAGCTCACTGAGATACCATGCCGCAGTTAAACATGAATACCCCACTCAGACACAGTATACTGACTCCGAGCCATACCAGGTATGATGCGGCCGGGGATCGAATCCCGGACCTTCCGCTCTCCGGGCGGACTCTCTACCACTAGACCACGGAGGCGGTCTCACTATGCGGTCTCACTATAAAGAAGAATGAATGAGTGTTGTTTAGACTCGGCAATGATATTTTATTAATAAAAATAGAGGCAGAGCCGTGAAGATCCCCGGGTAGATAGGTCTTCGGCAACCCATGCTTGCCGGCGACTATGCTTGTAAGAGGCGACTAACGGAATGGGTGGTCAGGCTGGATGACTTGGTTGATGCATGTCAATGATCCCAACTGCGATGCTCATGATATCAATCACCGGATTGTCTGGTCCAGACTTGATTATTAACAGGCCACTGACGTTTAGCTGGAATATTGCCGTGTGCGACATTTAACAACAAAGAAACCAGCAAACAAACATTAATATTCCCAGTACTTGGTTTCCACCCACAAGATACCATACAAAGTTCCAATATATCAATATTGGTGAAAATATTAGTGGGTCCAATTTTAATGGAATCCCTGTATGTTGCGTGGTTCATTGGTACGTTTAATAACAGTTGAAACAAGTCGGGTCTGGTACACAAAGTCAATTCACAAGGCTAAAAAATCTGGTTCACTTGGATCAGGATCAACACATGTGCTCCACATGGTGGCTGACACCTTGGATCTAACAAAAGTGGAATTTCAGAAAAATTGGATATAGACTGGGTTAATACTAAAACAATGAATAGCATTAATTAATTGAAGCCCAGGTAAAATATCTCCAAACACATAAACAGCTATCACTGTATAACACTGTATGACCATTTGTTTTGGGGGTTTTTCCTTGAAATTGTAAGATACTAACTTGAAATTTCAAGATGCTATGTTGAAATTTCAAGATACTAAGTTGAAATTTGAAGTTAGTATCTTGAAATTTCAAGAAAAAATAAAAAAACAAATGGCCCTAAAAGGCTTTTGTAAATTTGTATCCATAGGATGCATGTATTCTTGTCTATGGCACCTTCTACTGCGTGCCAAAACACTGATGATACACTATAGAACTGACCATGCAGACTACTGTGTACAACCTTTTGGTTCTTTGATATTGTTGTATTCCAGATTCAATCTCCTTCACAGAATCAACATAAAATACTTACTTATTTGTTTTCTTTGTCAGAAATATGCCAGCAATATGACAATGGCATGTAAATACTAGTGATCATGTCTGGAACAGACAATCCAGTGTTTGATATTGTGAGCAACGAGTGAGTGAGTGAGTTGGGTTTAAAGCCGCTTTTAACAGTATAACAGTTATATCACGGCTTGTCAGATTAATGTGGGAGGAAAGCCCAAAGAGATGCAGGTCTCAGACATTTACCACTTCAGTGAAACCCATGAGCACAGCCATGGTGCCGACAAACCTAGAAACATAATCGGGGCGAACCGGGATTCGAACCCACAATCATAGTTTTCTGGCGTGCCCAAGGGACGCAACTCTGAACAGCGAATTGCGGGGCCTTAGACGACTGGGCCACCCGTGCCCCCTGTGAGCAACGTTCCATGCTGTCAGGGTACATAGACACACAATCCACCAAGTCACTGAGAGTGAGTACCCAGTCCATTTGTTTGCCTCCTACAATCTGCATAGGTTGTTAGCGTCCTATTCTCACACGGAATCCCTATGGGGTAAAACACATCATCCTGAGGCAAGGGCGTTAACTGACCATAAAAGTCTAGTGTCTACCCTTGTCAAGCTAGGCTGGAATTTTTTAGTTACATTTTGACTGGACTAATGAGTCCTATGCATAGTCCAATCAAAATCGCTTAGTGAAATCGATACCTGGTTTTCCTAAAAGGCCATGCAGATTTAGTCAATTGCAGTATCTGCAAAGCATGTGTACCACCAACTCAATGTCCACAGATTTTTTTCCAAATCTTTTCATGTTTTTAATCAAGGTACTCACAAGATTTGATACACTTCACAAAGAAAGTCCTGTTTTATCACAATACAGATATTAATTATCGATCAGATCTTCTTGACTGGGTCTGCCATTTTGTTTGAAACAATTTCAAGTGATAGGAGAAATAGGAAGGACATAGAAGGGACATAACTCGTAATAGCCACTGGTGTCGCTCGGATCGATCCCAGAAATCCCAGCCTAGTTCAGCAAGGGTGGAAACTGGACTTTAACAGTCAGTTAATTCCCCTGCCTCAGGAAGATGAAACGCCTGATGAAGTGCTAATCGTTGAGTCACTGCACACTTTTATCTATGATCCTGGGATTGTCTGTCTGTGGGTTAGTTTAGTTCCTGCTAGGACTTTGGTAATGGTGGCCTTGAGGGTAGTCTGGGAACCTCGGGGAGCTGGCGCTGTATGCGGGGGTGGGGGATCCCTGGCCGTGCTACACTACCCCCCGAGGTTAGTCGTGACGGACTCCCACCAGGGTTGGATACAGTCAGTTAACTCCTTTTCTTTGGGAAGATGGGAAAAACATTAAATAGATTGATACAAATTCACAACAGAACAATGTCTAATGATACAGTATTTATTTAATACATGCATATACAACTACATCTTAACAATAACAAGCATGATTATCAATAAAACTGTAACAAAATCAGTGTTCCTCCACAAATCCTGAACTATATGCAGGACTGACTGTAAGGGAGACCTCTCTGTCCATGAACATGTTGAATATATTCAAACTGTGTCCATATATGATGAATCTCGCTATGTTTTCTGTACAGTGCTACTTCATCATTATGTTGATGACAGCTGATGTTGGCTGCTGCATCCACAGCATCATCCACATCATCACACTCTGTCCATGCTCCCCAACAACACATCAGTGTCATGAGTAGGACTGGCCAGAACTCTCAGATGCCTACCAAAACATAAACAATGAAGTTCTTGACAGAATTACAACATAGCTATGATACTGATGATGGTATGATTAATTGAAGCAGGGATCTATCAAGGGTCATAACCTAAGTGTCTCAAGTAAACATGGCAAATTAGGAGAAATACTAATACTCATTATTTCGGAAAAGTGGGAATCTTATAAGTTGTTATTTTCTAATTTCAGCATGTTTAAAGATATATTAACCTCGCATTTAATGCAACAATAAGACACCTATGCAAACAATGGCAATGCTATAAGAATGAGTCACAATTATGGCAATCTGAATTGGGGAGTAGTAATTCTGGAATGTTTAATGACATTTCCTCTCAACCTCAGGCCAATGTCGGCCTCATAAAATCAGTGGTAGAAACTAACATTTTTAGTCCACTAGTCCTCACAATGACAACATGTAGCAAAACCCTTAAAAATGGCAAATTTCTACTAGTACTTATGATACCTTAACTACCATGACTACATGGCAGTTTGGCAAGGACTATAGGACTAGTGCCAATTTCTAACATGTCTAATGCTGAAAATGCTTCCATAAATCCCTGTGTAAAATATTCCATATCATTTGTACTCAGCTTGAATTGAATGCTGATTGAGGATAATATATATAATTACTACAACTAAATAAACTTGTGAGTCTTTCAAAGAAAAAGTACATCTATGATCCAAATGACCCGCTTTGTCCAGGTGAGGTGAGGTGAGGTGAGGTGAAATTGGGTTTAACGTCGCGTCCATGATTATTGCACTTATATAGCGACGTGCATGTACGTGTGTGTGTTTGTGTGGCTGCTTGTACTAGTCCGGGCTGATGCCGATTTATAGTGCTAGCTCACTGAGATACCATGCCGCAGTTTTACATGAATACCCCACTCAGACACAGTATACTGACTCCGAGCCGACCAGTCCTTGTTTTAGCCCCTTAATGCCGAGCGCCAGACAGGGTAACAACAAGTACCATCTTTTAACGTCTTTTGGTATGACGCGGCCAGGGTTCGAACCCCGGACCTTCCGCTCTCCGGGCGGACGCTCTACCACAAGACCACAGAGGCGTTCTTGCTTTGTCCAGACAACCCTGTGATTGATTGTTGATAATACAAGTAACATCCTACGATATTTCGGTACAATCACATAGCACAAACCAAGTAACCAAGCCTGTCCACATGATCTATTTAGTTGCCTCTTTTGACAAGCAAACATTCCTGGTACTTATCCTAACAGGGATCATCTTCCCAGAGGCAAGGGAGTACATTCACTATCTGGATGAATTTCACTGCATCATTACCTTGACAGCACTTGACTCCCGGAGTAACTCTTGAATGACGAGTGCCAGGGCTTCAGGGTTGACACCCCCCTCACATAAACGTACACAAGTCGCCAGCGTCTCCCCGTCAAGTCCTGTGTTTAACAGTTTGGAGATCTCCATTAAGGCTGCAACACAAAACCCTATTACAGAACATGACACATATAAAGGGAAAACCTGTATCAGCCATGTAAGACCTATGTGTCAACATGTGGTCAGATCAAGTCTACCTAAGGAGAGATGCATGGTACTGTAATGTTGCCAATACTGATTATTGTAAGTGAAATGAATGTGTATTTTCACATTTGATCATGTCTCATTGTAGACAAAAAGGTGACAGAATGATGGAGAGACATGTAGTTGCCCAGTCCCTCCCATTGATGGCTATCTTGTGCATGTGATGTAAGACTGTAAAAATACTTAGATAATGTAGATTGTGGCCATTCTGGATTAGAAATGATCCTATGCCTGTGCTGGTTGTACAAACGACTTAGAAGATTGGGTGGTCAGACTCGGTGACTTGGTTGATCGCATATCACCGTGCACCAGTGTTGTGGATCATTGTTCACCAGTATTGTGGATCATTGTTCATGATATCAATCACTGGATTGTCTGGTCCAGACTCATCATCGTCACATAGCCAGAATACTGAAGTGTATGGCCCTTACTCTACGAAGGTTCATACTCCAATGAACTCACACAAAGTGAAAGTCAATTCTTAAAGGGGCACTGATCTAACGCAATTCCCCGGACTGGTTGTTGCCTTTGTTATTGTTTTTCCCCCGTGAGTACCCGGATGATACGCAACGCAATTGAGCGTGACCAGAGACTGGGCTACCGTCTGCAAGGACAGCTAAATAAACTTGGAGGCTGGAGGCAATATTTGATTTACGCATTTTTGAACACTGATTAGTTTAACGGTGATCTATAAAGATTTCGACAAAAGGCACATGTTAATTAATTTCTTCAGCCTAAACAAACAGACAAAAAGAACGGCGGAGCTCATCGTATGTCGTCATTTGGAAATACCCCAGATGGTTATAGTTTAATAATATAAAAAAGTATCCATGCAGTGAAAGCATTTTCGGATTTCGGATTGCGTCGATAATACGATTACTACTCACTTGTTGTCATCGACGTTTTCTGGTATAACCCTACACTTGTGTATTTGTCGTCATTCACTTGATGCTCAGTTAATGAATTTATTACAGGTACAATTGGTGGTAACACCATTTAGATTACCTGACAAAGGTTCCCATTTGGCATTTATTGTGTCTGGGGTAATTATTCAATCTAAATCCAGGTTTGAACTGAGGTGAAATGTGTGTTATGTAATATGCACGTGGCGGCCCAGCAAGAGGTGAATGATCAGTTCATTTACTTTTTTTGTAAATCAACGGATCGTTCCTAGTCATCAAAGGAATAACAGAAAATATGTTGATTGATTAATCACTGTTATCTTGCACAGTGGATATGTCAAAAGGGAGTGTTTACATGTCTGTTTACTAAAACAAAGGGAATACACTCATATCATGGCGTGAAGTGTCGATGTAAAAACAACATACTTTGTTCAAAGGGTTAACTTATAATACGTTGATTGATTGCTCATTGTTATCTATAACTCAATGGACTTTTTAGGAACCGTGGACGTTATGAAAATAGTTGTCAAGTGGGCTTTCTCAGCCGACCCTTGAAACTTGACACCTATGTGAAACACCTGAAACAATCTAAGTGATCAGTTGAGAAAGGAACACGGGTTATAATATCCCGAAACAATATATATCTTTAAAAATATTTGATTGTTACAGAGACACGTGACATCGAATAAGTTTCTTTGTACAGCTGCAGACGAGTGGGATATTGTTCCTTTGTGTGGATATTCACGGATACATTCCTCGAACAAGGAAGCTGCCCAAAATTTATACACATAAATTTGGTAGGTTGTAATTATGGTATTTGCATTTTGTTTTCCTTCATTCGCTGTAGCATTGAACCGATTTGTTCTTGTTCCTCTATGTCTTGTTGGGAAATTCTTCAGATTGACTAACATTGATTAAGACGATCAAAAGGGCCTAACAACATCACAACAGATTATTATGTTGGATTAGAAGTCAAACAACATAGAAATGTACTTTTCAACGTAACATTTTCAGTCTCTTGGTGATGACATTAAACATCAAAATGTTTGGAATTCGTTATCATAATACAGATGAAAATGTTTTTCAGTCACTTTGTAAAATAACTGAATATTTAGGCTTTTAATAAACTTGAAAATGTTACACATTTTGACAGTAAAAAAATATACACACTATAAAAAAAAGCAATGCTCAGGTGAAATATTTACTTTGTGTTGCAAGTCAAAATAGTGTAAACGAAAATCGCAAAATTAAGCAAGTGACTTATCAAAATTTCGTCACCATTACCGATGCTACCCGCAAAGATACCTACATTTCCTTGTTATCTCGAAAACTGTATTTCATTTTGTTGATCAATGTGACCATACGCCCTTATTACTACCCATAAAAGTGACTAATGCGCTTACGAATGGCGCAGCAGAGGTTGCGAACTAGTCTAGATTTCTGCTATACATCCGGGTACTCACTGGGGAAAAACAATAACAAAGGCAACAACCACTCCCGGGGAATTGCGTTAGATCAGTGCCCCTTTAAGTATTGGTGTGGCTTATCCAAAACACTATCCTTAGCCTTTAGAACCCCTTTCTAATCAAGCTCCATCCTTTCACATGGCCCAAGTCTAATTTGAACAGGGTCAGGCAGACCTTTGAAATCAATGGCCTCTTTACAATCATTAGGATTAGTATGTGTACCTTTCCAATCAAATACCCCATTCTGTCCTTTATAGGGGTAGTTGTGACATTAGGGATGAGGTAAGTTATCTGCGCATGCATTTAATGGATGCTGATTGAAAAGGTAGCATGAATTATGTGTGATAGCTTCAGGTAAATTTGTAATAATAAACTCATCTGCCATGCCAAACTGGAAACATGAGTTTGATGATCCTCTACCACCAACAATGCTTACTGGAATATGAAAGTTGTCTGTGAAGATACTGAATTGCTGAAGATTATCAGACATTAGCAACTTAGCTAGGACAACGTAAGATGGTCAGAATTGTTTTGAACAGCAAGGTCATTCTCCCCAAGCTATGTCCCCCAGTGATTTTGCAGATATGGCGTTAAAACAGGGCATACTTTCCATGGTTTCTCGAGCAGAGGGAACTCTCGATCTACCAGTGTCCGCCATTTTTCAAACAATGACTGTACAGCAGAATTTTTTTATGAAAATAAAATTGACATTTCCATGCGTTGAGGTTTTCATCACTTACACACAAAAAATCAGGACAAAATAATTTAATGTTTATAAGTGCCCACAAGTGCAGAAACAATTTATTTCAGAATTTATCAACGCAATGTCCCCACACATACTTTTGCAATCGTCATCGATATTCATAAATAACACGTGAACATTTTTCAGATATAAAACTCGTGGTATAACTTAAGCGTTTCTGTGTTTTTTCCTAACTATTTCTTTATCTAGTTTCACTATAGATGAGTATTAACTTAGAACATCAAGTATTGAGGAACCCGGAAGTACAATTTCATTGGCTGCAAAAGCAGCGGCAGTTCAAAATCTGACGGGAACTCTGGAGCAAGTCTGGACAAATTCGCCGTGAATGTTTACAAACGATACGCTTAAATGGTACTTCATTTCAACTCATATATGAACAATTTCACTTTCAATTCTGATGAAATAGTTAATTTGCTGATGATCTGTGATAACATTGGCATTATCTTTAGTGAAAGTGTATTTACACTGAACACGTGAATGGGATTTCTGAAGATCATGCCACAGGTTGAAATGTTCCCCTTGTAAACAACAGATATATACTCTACGAAAGGTGACACAAAATTTTGCATGTTATATGTAGATGTTCACGAGGATGAAGACAAGAAAACCTAAGAATCATAAATTGTCTTATTGTTTTGTTCATATTTCTGTTTGATCTACCAATAACATTACGATGACAAACATCCACACGTGTGTGATTTATTCTGACTGGAATGTGAACCTTCCTTCGAATGTATTATTGGAACATAGAATTTATTTGCCTTTTCTGGCCACCTATCTACCAACGTGGCAATGTACCAATGCTAGATGCTACTAATTCACTAGTACTGGTGTGGCATGCTTTAAGTCTGCTAATAATAGTCAAATCAATTACACTACATTTTACAGACCCAAAATGTTAAAACGTATCCTGTAAAGTCTTAACTTGTTTTATGCTGAAGGAAGTATGTGTATATATATATATCTGAAGGTACTGCTGTACAGAATTTTGAAGGGCTATTTAGACTTTTTTTCAGTGTCATCATTGGTCATTTCTTATAACTGTTCTGCTTTGCCCATCTTATTTTAATTTACATGCGAGTTTGGTGTGATTAGTCACAGATTCTAATTCTAATATTTTCTGTCATCACCCAACATGCCCAAATGTACTTCAATTTCAATATCTCCAATATATGTAATGAGATACTTGATAGTTACTAAACTGAACAAGATCTTCATAACTTAATGTATGTAACAAAGTAGTATCACATCTAACCCTTAGTAAATCATTCAACTCCCTCAGTGGCCTAGCGGTAGAGTATCTGCCGGGGAGAACAGAAGGTTGGGGGTTCGTTCCCCGGCCATGTCATACCAAAAGACGTTAAAAGACGGTACTTGTTGACAGTTGTTGTTACCCTGTCTGTCGCTAGGCACTAAGGGGCTAAAACATGGAGTGGTTGGCTTGAAGTCGGTACACTGTGTCTGAGTGAGGTTTTCATGTTAACATGGATAAGCTGTGGCGTGGTATCTCAGTGTGCTAGCACCATAAAATTGGCATAAGTCCGGAGTAGTACAACCCATGAAGATTCCGGGGTCAAATAGGTCTTCGGCAACCCATGCTTGCCGTAAAAGGTGACTATGCTTGTCGTAAAAGGCGACTAACGGGATCGGGTGGTCAGGCTCGCTGACTTGGTTGATGCATGTCATCGATCCCTATTGCGTGGATCGATGCTCATGTTGTCAATCACTGGATTGTCTGGTCCAGACTCGATTATTTACAGACCGCCGTCATATAGCTTGAATATTGCTGAGTGCGGCGTTAAACAACAAACCAACCAACCAACCGGAGTAGTACAAGCAGCCACACACACACACACGTGCATGCACATCACTATGTAAGTGCAATAATCTTGAATGCGACGTTAAACCCCATTTCACCTTCACCATCTGTTACAGTTTCCATTGTTTTCAATCTACTGTTATACAGCTGAGAATAGGCTTTATCCACTCACCAAGAACATTCCATTTTCAGAGAGAAAGCTTGTGATAATATGGAAACAGAGTCTTGTACCAGTGAAACTTTGGATACCAGATCAACTTTCACCCCTGTGCCCCACTTCGATCTCAACAATGTGACCCCGGACAAGAAAACTGACAGTCCTCACCGAGGATGTCCTGTTCAATTTTCCAAAACACAGGACTCCAACACTCCCAGCACATCTCAAAGAAGTCCAGCCCATGTCAGATTTGGAACCTGTGGACTTCGTTCAGACACATATCTCCGGCATGCACTGTCTAGTCCATATCATAAGACTGCTTCCATGATGGCGGTTCAGACTGACTGCAGCAGCCCGCTCCTGTTCAAGACTCCGATCAGAAACACTGGGTCCACTCCCAGCAGCAGCCGCGCCAAAACTCCCAGTGGTTCCAGGCTGCATCCCGGAGTAACCAATCACCTCACACCTCAGAGTCATGTGATCAGCAACCCCTTTGACATGACAGGTGACCGTGTACATTTCCCAGGATTCAGTCCTGGTTTGTTTACTGTCATGTCTACACCTGCAGGAGAAGATGGAGTAAGTAGCACGTATGAGATGTCATTGTTGTTATTAGGCATATCTGGGGCACAGGTGGCCCAGTCATCTGAGGTGCAGCAACTCGCTGTGCCCTTGGGCACACCAGAAACCTATGATTGTGGGTTCGAATCCCGGTGTATAGTCTGAAAGTATATCCCCCCTGCAAAGTATACCTGGGTAGATTCTCAGGCAATTTGGATTCGATAACAATTTATTATTATCTACACCGGGGTAGATTCTGGGAACTCCCAGATTATACCCCCTGGGGTAGATTCTGGGAAAGAGGGGTAGATTCTGGGAAGTCCCCAAAATCTACCCGGGTATACCCTGAAAGGGGGGTGGGGGGTCGGTTAGCCTAGTGGTTAAAGTGTTCGCTCGGGATGCAGAAGACCCTGGTTGATTCCCAACATGGGTACAATGTGTGAAGCCCATTTCTGGTGTCCCCCGCCGTGATATTGCTGGAATATTGCAAAAAGTGGCATAAAACCATACTCACACACTCACTGAAGGAGGGGGGATAGATTTTGGCAGCTTACACCGGATTGCCCCGATTATGTTTCTAGGTTTGTAAGCACCATACCCCATGATACCCGTGCTCGTGGGTTTCACCGAAGTAGTAAACTTGTGAGACCTGCATCACTTCGGACTTTCCTCCTACATTAAGCTGTGATATAACTGGAATATTGTTCAAAGCGGCATTAAACCCAACTCACTCACTATTATGCATATCACAACATTTAGAATACATTACAGTAAATTAAGCATGAATGTCAGGCTGTCCTTGTCCTAACCCTCCAGTTAAAAGTTGAAAATTTGGAGGGTCCCTAGATTCAGTACTCAATTCAAGGCCCGAGGAGCAGATCCCCCTTAATTATAAACACACGTCTGTGACAGATTTCATTACCACAGAACATGCAGGGAAACATACGGAATATAGCTTGTTCCAATGCTTCTGTACCCCACAAAAATATTTGCCTTTAACATGTGTAAGCAGAAGAACTTTGTTAAACACCATCAACACTAGGGATTAGAGGAATACACCAACTGTGCTATCCAATACGTATCACGATACCTTTCTCGTGATCCAAAATGTATCATGATACTTGCATGTGCTCTTATCTGTGGTGCACAAGCCATCTTTTTGATAGACAGGATGGCCAAATACCTGGCACACTAACAATTTACAGTTGATTGTGTCAAGTATGGCGCAGTGGATGAAACTATTTATCTTTTCACTACTAATTAATGTTACATTTATTAAAGAATGCATTTAAGGTAAGAATTAATACTTTTTACTTAGTGTGCGATTGTGATCGATACTTGTATCGAGAAGTAGTAAAACGCGATCCACCAATGCATCGGTGTTTCGACCCACTACTAATCAACGCCGTTAGTTTTTATAGAAAGTTGTTTTTTGTATGACATGGAGTACTAAGCCATGGGATTGGGGGTGTCAGTTCCTTTTTTTGGTCTGATTTTTACACAGAGCCACAGATAAGCAGCATATTTGCGTAAAATACCCCCCAAAAATATACAAAACCCAATTTCTTCAATTACTTGCGTACAGAAACGTATACATTAAATGAAAAACTCAAATGTCTCAAAACAGCACGGGTAAATACCCAATGAAGCTTTTTCAGCATGCGTACAACTGAGCTTTCCGAGCCAAGCCTAGATCTTTATATTTAGAACAGTTATATTGTTTCTTTTCTTTCAAAATCTTCCAGAGTTCACTAATTTTGTGAAAAACACAATAGAGTGATGAATAGATGGGTGAACAAATATTGGTTACCCAATGAAATATGTAATTACCCAATTAAAACAGAAACCCTAGAATAAAATCTCAATTGCTCAAAAAGTTATCTGGAGCCCTGATTACACAAATACAGCTATCAGTGGCTATTATGCAATGTGTATAATTATGATGTACACACCTCAGCAAAGGAAGCATCCAATTATCATGTTTAAAAATCTCAAACTTGCCTACCAGTATAAAACTGCAGCCATGCTAGAACAGGTGGAATGGATGCACATTTATGTACGGATGGTGTATCTTTTTGTGCCTGGTTATCATAATTTGTGTCTGGTGATTTTGACACAGAAAGCTGTAAATAGGTTAATGACTTAGACGAAAGACATGATGAATTAAGTCAATGGCAGAAGTCAATAAGTCATATCAACAAGAATGGTCGAGGAACCATAACAAAGGAATGCAATTTGATGAATATATATATATATATATATACGATCTGGCCAATGAACGTCGTCATAAGATAAGTGTTTGACTAAGTCACTATAGTTCCTGACAGCATTTCTCTATGATGAGGGGCGGTCGGGTAGCCTAGTGGTTAAAGTGTTCGCTCGTCACGCCGAAGACCCGGGTTCGATTCCCGACATGGGTACAATGTGTGAAGCCCATTTCTGGTGTCCCCCGCCGTGATATTGCTGGAATATTGCTAAAAGCGGCGTAAAACCATACTCACTCACTCACTCTATGATGCAAAGACACACTGCTCAGAAATCAATTACAATTTTTGTGTGGCTGTGCATTGTTTCATTAAATCAATACTGTGAGTAGGACTAATTTACTTATCAATTATGAAATAATGAATCGTGTGTGCATTTCTATTGGTCAAAAGTCCTACTACATGTACTTAAGTGGTGGGACTATATATGCCACTGCATCAGTAAATCGCAATTTTTACTGCTCAATACAAGTATCAATCACAATGGCATGCTAAGTCAAAAATATCTATACTTACCTTAAATGTTTGCTTTAATAACTATTACACCAAACACTATTTAGCATGTTTAGTAGTGAAAACCTAAATTATGTCATCCATTGTGCCATATTTGACAATACCAACTGTATATCGTCAGTGTGCCAGGTATTTGGCAATACTGTCTTTGAAAAGATCATACGTATCCCATCGTGAGCAATGTATCGTGATACGTATTGGATCACAGTTGGTGTATCGTCCCAGCCCTAGTTATTACTGACATTTCCAGACTCGGGGCTGACATTGATAACTCCCTGCACGTATGTTGTGGATGTTTTATTTGTTTGTTTGTTGTTTAACACCGCACTCATCATTGTTCATCCTGTTGTCGGGGGGAACGGGTGGCCCAGTCATCTAAGGCGTCGCAATCGCCGTGCAGAGTTACGTCCCTTGGGCACCTCAGAAACCTATGACTGTGGGGTTCCAATTTTGTTTCTAGGTTTGTCAGCACCAAACCCGTGCTCGTGGGTTTCATCGAAGTGGTAAACGTCTGAGACCTGCATCACTTCGGGCTTTCCTCCCACATTAAGCTGACACGCCGCGATGTAACTGTAACTGGAATACTGTTAAAAGAGGTGTTAAACCCAACTCACTCACTCATCCTGTTATCAGTCGCAAGATAACTGAAATAACTTTTAAACTGTTCAATTTTATGGTCATGTTTTCCTATGATCGTACAGTTAGGCCTTAAGTTGGGGACACATTGTTTTCATGGCACAGGAAGTGATTAGTTATGTTAGTTGACAGTTGATCAATGTTTTATGTATATTCTGCAACTGTTGTGTTTCAGAAAACATTCCGTTGGTCAATAGAGCACATTGCTGCCCTGAACCCTGCTAACATCGAGGACATGCCGGAACAGCATGATCACGGGTTAGTGAGTCTGATTGCCACACCCAGGAGAATTACATGACTCTCTATATCTTTGCAATATAAGTCCCTGGCACTATGTCGTGAAACCAGGTCAATTGATTCTCAGGTAATTGACAGTTAAATGTTAAGTTTCAAATCAATCTGAAAATTTGTCAGACAGACTGTCTGTCTGTCTATAGCTTTTTAAGCCATGGCTCCTTTGTCCGTGGTCGAACTAACTGAATTGTTAGTCAAATACCACTTGGCAATGACTGAACTTCTTTTTTTCCCTATCATTTATCTTGATGATAGAACAATTTCATGAAAAGCGATTGTCGTCAGTGGGACTCATACCCTCAAAGTCTGCCCAGAATGAATGTAGTCTTCTGCCACGGCGACATGGGAGAAATTGTATGAAATTAACAACTAAATATTTACTTACATCAGGACTAATTGCTTATTTATTTATGAACTGCGAAATGTATTTTATGCCTTTTTTATACAGTATGTTACTCTATGCATTCTAGTATTTGTACAGTACCTGTGAGTTTGTAGCTTTTCCTTCAACGAAACAAACAGATAAAAACGAAATTAATATTATCTTGATCGGGGCGATGTTTGCTCAAAATAGGCCCATCAACATGGGCAAGTAATTTTTAGGTTACCGTATTCGACGTAATAAGCGCCCAGGGCGCTCTCAAAATTAGGAACAGGGGGCTCTTATTAGAATATTATTTTGGTGAAAAAATAAGTTGAAAGATAAATTTCGTGGTTTTATGCTGACAGCCTGAACTGTTTATGTACGACAGATATTTTTTTTCAGAATTTAATTGCCCATAATTAAGGGTACATATAACATATGAGTGCGTCTTATACGTGAAAAAATAAGACTTGTGTACAGTGATCAATCGGAAGGGTGCCAATTGGGATTGTTCACAAGCCAATATATTAGGAAATATCGCCGTGGGCGCTTATAAGGGCGGGGCGCTTATTACGTCGAATACGGTATTCATAAATGTGCTTGAGTTGTTCCCAAATAAATGGTATACTTGCCCCGGGACATGCATTTCATGACCCAAATCGGCAAAAGGCTCGGGGAACGCATTTCCCGTGCTTCACACAAGGCTGACTCACACAGTGTTCTCACAGTTGAGCACAGAGTTCCTGAAAATCTTTCAAATTACCTTTAATAAAACAATGTTTTTTAAGCATTTTAGGTGCCATAAATGTTGGACATGGTTTCAGGCCTCACATTCTATGTGTTCTTGTTTCATCTTCCCTACAGACTGGACCGAGAGGCGGAGGAGCGAGCACAGCAGGCCATCTCTCACTACTTTGCCTCCCAACTCATCGTCCCCTCCCCCTGGAACGCCCCAGAGAGGAAGTACATCAGCCCTTGCACCCCAGTCACCCAGTCAGGTAGGTCGTGTTAGTACCCCCTCACCCCAGTCAGGTAGGTTGTGTTAGTGCCCCCACACCCAACTCATTGTCCTCTCCCCCTGGAACACCCCAGCGAGGAAGTACATCAGCCCCTGCACCCCAGTCACCCAGTCAGGTAGGTCGTGTTAGTACCCCCTCACCCCAGTCAGGTAGGTAGTGTTAGTGCCCCCACACCCCAGTCAGGTAGGTCGTGTTAGTAAACCCACATCCTAGTCAGGTATGTCGTGTTAGTAAACCCACATCCTAGTCAGGTATGTCGTGTTAGTGCCCCCACACCCCAGTCAGGTAGGTCGTGTTAGTAAACCCACACCCCAGTCAGGTAGGTCGTGTTAGTAAACCCACACCCCAGTCAGGTAGGTCGTGTTAGTAAACCCACATCCTAGTCAGGTATGTCGTGTTAGTAAACCCACACCCCAGTCAGGTAGGTAGTGTTAGTGCCCCCACACCCCAGTCAGGTAGGTCGTGTTAGTAAACCCACACCCCAGTCAGGTAGGTCGTGTTAGTAAACCCACATCCTAGTCAGGTAGGTCGTGTTAGTGCCCCCACACCCCAGTCACTCAGTCAGGTAGGTCGTGTTAGTGACCCTGATCTCCTTGACAAAGAAAGTTTTTATGGTTGCAGCAGTAATTATGTTTTCACCATCACATATATGTGTTTCATATTTGAGCTTATTGTTGTGACATTGTGATGCAGTACAGGGTACTTGGGACTCTTTCGGCCCTGAAATCCTCTAATGACCTTCAATAACTGTTGTGACATTGTGATGCAGTACAGGGTACTTGAGACCTTTACGGCCCTGAAATCCTCTAATGACCTTCAATAACTGTTGTGACATTGTGATGCAGTACAGGGTACTTGGGACCTTTTCGGCCCTGAAATCCTCCAATGACCTTCAATAACTGTTGTGACATTGTGATGCAGTACAGGGTACTTGGGACCTTTTCGGCCCTGAAATCCTCTAATGACTTTCAATAACTGTTGTGACATTGTGATGCAGTACAGGGTACTTGGGACCTTTTCGGCCCTGAAATCCTCTAATGACCTTCAATAACTGTTGTGACATTGTGATCCGGTACAGGGTACTTGGGACCTTTTCGGCCCTGAAATCCTCTAATAACCTTCCATAACTGTTGTGACATTGTGATCCGGTACAGGGTACTTGGGACCTTTTCGGCCCTGAAATCCTCAAATGACCTTCAATAACTGTTGTGACATTGTGATGCAGGAGCACACAGACCGATGCAGATATTTCCGGAGGATCTGCAAGGCTCCATACAGAAGGAGCTGAACAAGCTCCGCAAAAGTCAGGAAGGTGAGTGTCTCCCCATCCATAATACCCATGTTACCCTTCTCGCTACAAGGGCCGCCTCCGTGGTCTAGTGGTAGAGCGTCCACCCTGAGAGCGGAAGGTCAGGGGTTTGATCACCAAAAGACATAAAAGATAGTACTTGTTGTTACCCTGTCTGGCGCTTGGCATTAAGCGGCTAAAACAAGGACTGGTTGACTCGGGGATAGTATACTGTGTCTGTGTGGGGAATAGCACTATAAAATCGGCATTAGTCCAGACTAGTACAAGCAGCTACACACACACTCACACACACACATGCATGCACGTCACCATATATATAAGTGCAATAATCTTGGACACAACCTGAAATCTGAGTTCAGAGTTCCGTACCTTAGTAGTGCCAAAAACCCATGATCATGGGTTCAAATCCCAGGTTCATATTTCTATGTGCCTTTTTCTTATTCCAGTGTCTTGTCAAACGACCTTGTCCCTGCCGGTGGACTTTGACATGCAGAGTGTGCTGGGTGAGTCCCAATCCTTCTTTTACGTAAGTTTCAACTCCACCACTGAATTTGCGGATCTGCAGAATTCTGTGACGCCAAGGGTCACTTTTGTGGTACATGCCATTACAATATACACATAAATCATATACTCACCCAGAGCCCTTGGCTAACTTTGAGTAGAGGTGAAACGATGCAGCAATGTCATGATACGATACGTATTGCGATACGCATATTGCACCGGATGCAAACCTCTTGACAATAAATATTTCAGAGCAAGTTCAAAAGGAATACCTAGCTGTGGACACATGTTCGTAGCTGCTATTTTTAGTAGTGAACGTGAAATGCTAATTACAACACATTTTGTGATATCTGACTGACAAAAACGTCAGGGATCATTAAACGAGTAGTAAGTAATTTATATCAGCAAGTGTATCATCTTGTATTGAAACAGAAAAAAATGTATCGCATATCGTATCGTCACATGAAACCTCGCGATGCACCGGTGCACCGATGTATTCTTTCATCCCTAACTTTCAGTATGTGATTACCCAGTGTCATGGTTCATGGGTCGGAGTAGATGTCAAAATGGAATGGATGATTTAGGATGTGAATTCAAATGAAACAAAAACTAAATAAATTCCAATCTAAGCCCCTCATCATGTACATGCCAGATGTGCATCTATCATGTCTACAAGCCTCCTTAATATAGCTGGAATAGTGCCGATATAGGCGTAAAAGTATATTAGCTCACTCCTTAATAAATGGCTTCAATCATGCATACAACTGACACAAGCATTTGCCACCCAGGAGAGTACATGAACGCTGAAGCGACCGAGGAGACTAATCAGGAAGCTCTCAGCACATCCTCGTTGCGACGGAAACTCTTCTTCCAAGGGGAAACAAGCACAGCTCTAAGTCCTGTCAAGTAGGTTTATTGACCACATCGGTGAACACCTTTCACTTGCACCACTTTTGGCTTTCCTCCCACATTAAGCTGACATGCTGCGATAAACCAAAATATTGTTCCTGTCAGTTCTAAAGAGGAACTGAGGTAAATTTACGTTTTAGTAATTATTTTTAAAAAAACGTTTAACTAATTTTACAAGATTAAGCTGACATGCTGTGATATAACTGAAATACTGTTCAAAGCAGCGTAAAACACTTCTCACCTCTAAATAACCTTAATTCTTGCCTTGAAACCTATATGATGGCGTGCTATGTTGTTACCATGGTTACAGGAGTGAAACAAAGCTACTAGAACAGTTATCCTCTCCACCATCATCACCTCTAGCGCAGACCACACCAGAATGGGACAAACAGACGTACAGGACGTCATCATCGGTAATCTATGTCTCGTGTAGCATATGACTTGTCAGTGATGTCCTGACGATCAAATGTAGTCAATATTTGGGCAATACCAACCAAGCCATTGATCATAAAATTCCATAACTGTTTAGTCAGAAAAAAACAAGAGAAAAAGATTTCAGTAGAAGAAAGAGCTTTTTGATTTCCTGTTACTGTACGTTAGGGTGTATATTTTTAAGTCACCAAGATTAACTGGTATTTTCACCTATATTCTTGTTCATATTTCTTGCTTTGTTCCTTACAGGGTCAGTTTTCCTCAAGCCCCATCAAAGGTCCTTCTGAACCATACTTCAGGAGAACATCATCCGAAGCTGACTTCCTGGCCTCACCAGAGTTATCTCCCATTAACAAAAAGCGCTCAAACAGAGGTAATAACACCATTTTCAGAAATTGTGTAATATTTCTGTGTTTTTTGTTGTTTTTGTAACATTTCTGATTCGAAAACTGTGATGTGCTCTTCGTGTTTTTGAAGTGTCAGTTTGAATCACATAATTTAAAGATGAAGATCTCCCATGAAGATCCGGGGTAGAATAGGTCTTCAGCAACCCATGCTTACCGCAAAAGGGGACTGTGCTTGTCGTAAGAGGCAACTAACAGGATTGGGGGTCAGGCTCACTGATTTGGTTAATGCATGTCATCGTATCCCAATTGCGTGGATCGATGCTCACTGGATTGTCTGGTCCAGACTCGATTATTTACAGACCGCCATCATATAGCTGAAATCTTGCTGAGTGGGGCGTTAAACAACAAACAAATCATCTTCCCGCGGCAAAGGTGTAAACTGACTTTATAAGTAACTGGACTTTCTTATAAAGTCAGTTAACGCCTTTGCTGCGGGTAGATGGAAACAAACAAACAAATAAAACAAACACACAACATTAAGCTAAAACCCAGTTCAGATGAGCATTAACCAATTCTGTCTACATGCTCAGTCACCTCTCCCTTTTGTTTTCAGGTGCCTTCTGTCGATCATCTGGATGTGGAGTGCCAAATGTGGAAGAAAGCTTTTCATTTAACTGTAATACCAAGCGACGGTTGTCTCCCTTGCCAATGCCAGACATGTCCCCAATAGGCTGTGATCCTGATGACGAATATGACATAAAGAGACAGTTATCTCCCTTACCCATGCCGGACATGTCTCCGATTAGTTGTGATCCTAAGGACAGAGGTGATGTGAGACAGAGATTATCTCCCTTACCCATGCCGGACATGTCTCCGATTAGTTGTGAATCTGGGGAGGGAAGTGGCTCACACCGGCATCCATCACCCCTGTCTGTGCCAAATATGTCACCGATCTGCCAAATAGCGAGAGAAACACTGGACGAGCAACAACAGTTGCCGGTGGCAGATGTGTCTCCCATCACATTCAATCCCACTTCTGAGGAAGGGGATAATCTGGGTGCTTCATACTTGCCAGGTACAGTAATTAGGGGTTTAAAAAATTTCGATTTTTTAAAAAAAATTCATAACGGACAGCATATTTTTTCAGTCCTTGGGTTGAAACATTCAGTTATTTTCTCTGAAAGCAAGAGCAGAACAATTAAAGTTAATACACAACACAATTTTATTCAGAATATTCAACAATTTTTTTATGTTTTTGTTAACCTTGAGGAAAATTTATTTTATTCCAGTATTTTCTAGCACAATTTGTGTTGGGTTTTAAATATTTTCAACCCTTGCTAATTGTAGCTTATTCCTTTGATTGTTATCTGTTGTCAACACTCAGTCATATTGGGATAGATTCTGAGACGAAACCAAAAGCCAAAAGCCATTTAAAGATGGTACTTAACCCTGTCTGGCCCTCAGCATTAAGGGGCTAAAACAAGGACTGGTCGGCTTGTAGTCAGTATACTGTGTCTGAGGGGGTATTCATGTTGAACTGCCGCATGTTATCTCAGTGGGCTAGCACTATAAATCGGCATCAGTCCGGACTAGTACAAGCAGCCACACACACACACTTGCACACACATACACACACTCGCACACACACACATGTGCATGCACGTCGCTATGTAAGTACAAAAATCTTGAACGCGACGTTAAACCCCATTTCATTTCACCTCACCTCACCTCACCTCACCTCACCTCACCTCACCTCACCTCACCTCACCTCACCCCATTATGATAGATTTAGATTACCCAGTAACAGACTTCTGAATACATCTAATTTAATTAAAGATTTGTTTTTTGTTAAAGAACCCAGTTCCGAGCACCTAGCTGATGAATCGTCAACACCACAAGCAGAAGACTGCAGACAACTGAACAGAATTCCCTCCCTTGGTGCTACAGATCCTGCCACTAGAGGGCCAGTGATGGCTTTCAGGAAATCCATTGCTATGGAAACTGACTCATCCAGTCAGGATGGGTTCTACTTCCAAGTAGACAATAAGACCTACACCTTCAACTATGGTCAGGACATCTCAATTGACGACATGGACACAACTAGCGACTATGCACCCCAGCCTAGTTCAGCGAATCAGGACACAGGATACCAAACTGCAAGTCTCCAAATGACCAATCTCGATACAGGACTTCATACAAATCTGACCAGTCAGTTTAGCTCTCTGCCTTTCAAATCCGAGTCCAGTATAGATCAAAATGAGTTGGAGGACAGTGTGACCTCTAAAGATTGTCAACGTGTGTGTTCAGACTTCGACCAGCCCAGTGACAACGATCTCTTACAAAGTGACTCAGGTCTGGCAGAGGACAGAGTGTTAGAACGTGCACGGAAGATTTTAGCTCGCACCAGTAACCAGTGTCCAACTCAAACATGTGAACTAGACAACAGTATTAGCCAATCAGCATCGCTTCCAATCCAGCCAATCAGCTCCTCGACACCAACAAAACGATGCAGACGGCGAATAGAGAGAAAAATCGCTGTCATAGATAAGCCATCCAAAGGGAATTGTCAGCTTGCCAGTAAGTAAACCCATCTTGTTTCAGTGTATCATGGGTAGATTACTCTTCGTATTAACATTGTTTAGTTGGTAGAAGTATAAGGCTTAAAAGAATTAAAGAATTGTTTCTCAGGCAGTGACTTTTGAAAACATAGTGTGGGCAGCTGTGTTTTTTTGGCATATTCAAACTAGTACGTAATCAAATAAACAGTTGTGTACCATCAACCTGGGAAAGGGCCTCCCTACATAAACAAACATACAAACTTGTATTGCTGCCATGACCATATTACAAGATGCGCATCAAAGCAGTGCACATGTAAAGGGAAATAACTGCGTGCTATATTGGATCGCATAGTTTTTAAGTATTAGGATTTTAATTGTTTTGGAAAATGGAATAAAAAACAAAATGTGCAGCAGACTTTATGATGATGTGGGCATGGCCTGAGAACCAAAACTATTATTTTTTTAGCCTAAAATGCATTATATTTTCAACCTCCATATATTGTACATGATACTTAAATGTGTATATCGCAAAACTGCAACAATATAACATTCAGCATGTTCAGGACCTGTAAGATTTTCATAGCCTTTAATTCACTAATACTATTGATCATGGCTAGACATGCCCGCTTGTCCGTTGGTCCGAAACTAGTAACAATCTAGACCGACTCGTTTTATCCTAAAATCTAGTTATCTTACATAACCACTTGTCCAATCTTCCGGAGCTAGTACGAGTTACGTCCCTTCTATATCGCTCCTATTGACCAATCAGATTCCAGTCTGATATCACTTGCAATTGCTTCAAACAAAATGCTGGTGCCCAGTGAAGACAATATGATCAATAATGAAGATCTATCTTGTAATAATTGGGTCTTACATAGCGAAGTGCATCAAATCATGTGAGCACCTTGATTAGAAACATGAAAAGATTTGTGAAATATCTGTCCATGCACAGTTGACGGTACACAGGCAACAAACCGGATGTTGATTTCGTTACACGATTTTGATTGGTCTATGCATAGACTCGTTAGTCCAGCCAAAATACAACTCCATAAGTCCAACCTAGTTCGGCAAGGGTGGAAACTGGACTTTTATAGTCAGTTAACGCGGGAAGATGACTTCCGAAATGAGCTGCAGACAACATGGATATGGCCAATGATGTCTACCCTGGTGGATTGATCAATTCTGATTTATCAAGCTGTACTATTGATGATTCCAAGTTTTCTATGCATTTAATTCTATGAACATGATGAAAGGTTCCATATTATTGCCATCAACCAGTTTGTTTAATCTTTAGTGATCATATGTGATCTTCTGGTCCCTGTTCCACAAAACATGCAAAATCTGAAAACTGTCATAGCGCTACAACTGTCGTAACTCTGTTAAAGTGTGAGAGTTATGATGGTCTTAGTGCTATGATTGCTTTGAGCAACGGGGCCCTGGTGATTGTTTTCTTTTGTGCTTGCCCTAACCATAATAAAGCTGATACATGTGTATTACCCATTTACCCACTGGGTTAGAAATAACCGAGTTCATAGAAATTGAAAGTGCACCAGTGCAAATGCTTGTTGTAAGAGGCGACTGACAGGATCGGGTGGTCAGGCTGACTGAATTGGTTGATGCATTTCATTGTATCCCAATTGGATTGATGCTCATGATGTCAATCACAGGATTGTCTGGTCCTCGATTATTTACAGACCGCCATCATATATCTGGAATCTCGCTGAGTGCGGCATTAAACAACAAACAAAAAACATTGTGATCACAAGGACCTTTTGTATCTTATGACTTCAACAATGTACATTTTCAGGTGACGTGGCAACAGAGCTGTTGAAACGAGCAGGAGAAGACCTCGCGAAGTATTGCCCTGAAGCCAAGCCCATGTCTGCATCATGACGATATGTCAGTCATTAGCCACGACATGATCAGATGGGACACATTTTGTCTGTCTGTTTGTCATGTCTCTCACTCACTCACTCACTTTGGACTCAATTTTCTCGATGACCCCCACACATTGTTTTAAGTCTGGAATCTCCTCAGCACATGAGTGCTAAAACATATAGCCATATTATTTATACCAAATCATTGCAACAGAGCTCCAGATAACTTTTGGAGCAATTGAGTTTATACTCCAGGGTTTCTATTGTAATTGGGTTATTACATTTTTCATTGGGTAACCAATATTTTTTCACTTATCTATTCATCACTCTGTTGGATTTTCCCCAAAATTAGTAAACATTTTAAGATTTGAAAAAAAATGAAATAATGTTTTAGATGTACATAACTGTTCGAAATAAATAGGCTTGACGCGTAGAGTAAATTAGCTTGTAATTGTGTGTACGCATGCTGAAAAAGGTTCATTGGGAATGTACACAAGCTATTTTTATACATTTGAGTTTTTCATTTAATGCATGCGTTTCGGTACGCAAGTTAATTGAACGTAATTGGGTTTTGGATATTATTTTTAGGGGGAGAGTGGGGGGTAATTTACGCAAATACGCTGCTTATCTGTAGCTCTGTTGCAAATGCCAAACCTGTTTTCGAAGTCAGTCTGTGATAGGGCATTAACATGATTAAGATAACTTTGTTAGCTGTAGAGGTAACAATGTTGAACTAACAAGTTAATTATAACATAAATGCATTAGAATTTACAACTCCATACCTCAATGCATTTATGATCTCATCACCCCTTCAATGTGTAAATGGATTCACCCATACTATGTATGGGATGGTCCAAGTAAGACCTGAAGGGGATAATCAACTCATATCAGTGATTGGTTGGTTATCAAGACCCATCTAATTTATTACCCAGTGGATTTTTTCACTTTTGTTTAGTCATTGTATCTGTTTTGTGATAGGCTCCTGAACATTAGACCACACTATTCTTATTTTAAGGTGTACAGACTTTTCCAGTTTTGCTGTGGTCAGACGAAATGAAAACATATCTGAATCTTTTTAGCACATTTTTTTTTTTTAATTGGCATAATTTGTTTGGTTTAGCATGTTAAGTGGGCCAAAACATAAATGGTAAAATTGCTTTAAGTGCAGGATGTTTCGTATTGTGTTTGTAACATACATATACATATACTAACTTCTGAGGGGATTTTAAAAGATTACAATGTCCAGAGACAACAGACAGTGCATTTGATAAATTTTTATATGAAAAGTTTATATGATTTTTGAAGGTGTATCATGTTATTTTTCTTAGCCATCAGAGCTATACTGAAAAAGAAAAGTTAGGGATCATGAGTATTTTGAGGGATATTTTTTATGAAATTGTGTGATCAGTCTACTCTACAAAAGACTATTTTGTTCAGTATATATTTCAATTATTAGTTTTTCTTTCTGGTTTTGGACCTGTCACTCAATACCGTAAACACTAAAATATCATAAGTTCTGTGTAATGCACCCTACTTGAAGGTATATTTAACAAAAGAGTTTAAACAATTATTTATCAGAACCCTTAATTTTCAAGTGTTACTGTTGTGGTGTCAGAGTGGTGATAAACACTTACCTACCGTTTGTGGTTTAAACTGTTTGTGGTTTAAACTGTTTGTGGTTTAAACTGTTTGTGGTTTAAACTGTTTGTGGTTTGTGTTGGGCAAATTTAGGATACACGGTACTCTTGCAGCACTAATTGAAGCTGTATTGAAGAGACTCTTGGCAAGGGTCAACGGTAGTAGGGTCAATTTTTATATTGTGTTCTCGCTCCGATTGTTGAGTGAAGAATAGGATTGGAAGAATTTACAGTCTCCATTTCCACGTTTTGTTTTGTTCGGGTAGATGTGATAGCACCTTTGATGCAGATCTATGTCATCCATTGTGTTCACAATGGAACAGTTTTTCATGATGGGTTCTTTTTAATTCATGATTAAGATTCTACCGAGAAGTCGTACATACATGATCACCAGGGTTTGAGATTTATTTTTAAAATATTAATTTCATGTCGACAGTTTTAATTCATAAGAATAAGTCTGTGTTCTATTCACTGAAACAGAATGGCATTTTTCATGATTTTTAAATGTGCAGGGGTGGAAAAATATGGTTGCCTGATGTTAGTCACTGAATGTCTATTTCAATATGTCAGTGATTTTGTGTTCATTTTCTTTTTGAATAATGTTGATAATATTGAGACCAAAGCAGGGAGAATTTATTCGGTTTACCGTCAACTTTGACCTTTAACAAAAAATTGTTTTTAAAAATCAATTGTGCAGTATATCAGGTATATAATATATTTTGGACAGTAAATATCTTGAAAATATTGCTCAGTCAAACAACTTCACCATGCTGACTACACTACAACGTAGTCTTGTGTATTTATTCCGTATTTATTGGATGCTAGACTGCCGCAAGTCTCATTAAGTTAGACAATGTATTCAGTAGCATGGCACAGGACCCTAGCACGCTAGCATCATAGATCACACATGATGGAGTAAGGTATACTTCATTTAATTCTTGAAAAATAGGTCTTTCTCTAAGAACACACACCCTTACTTTGAAGGACAAGTTTGTCATCTGTTTGCATACGATGTGTGACTTTCATCAGAGATGGTGTTTCAGCGTAATATGTCGAGAGGTGCTTTCTTCTTATTTTTAACATATTGTTCACATTTAAACATCACATGGTTTTCATCTTCAATATATTTACAGTTTTTTATGAAATAGAAATCATAGAATTGTTCCTTATGAGGATTGTAACTGTTGTCTTCCAAGCTTCACATTTAAACGGAAATTATTACATCTGTACTTGGAGATATATAGCTTAATGTCCTGTGGAATTTATTCATATCTTTTCGATATCTCTCAAGTTTTAATTTCCATGTGTCATCAGATTCTCTGATATTTTCACCCCCGGTGTAAGATTCTTTTATGTAAATCTTTTAACATGGGAAGCGAATTTGTTTATCAAATTCAGCATTACTGAAAATCATCAATATAAATTATAAGAAAGATGAGGATTTTTCATGTACTCAAATTTTATTACAAAAGGGTTTAAAAATAAAAAAAATGAAGTAAATGAACATTTTACATTCACATTAGTTTATATTTTTAGAACAGACATTTCACCCAAAATGTTCCCAAACAGTAACAGATATGTATTTTAATAATCCATGGCTGGCTGTATCAGTGGTGTAGGACCTGTTCCACCTGTCTCCGTCACACATTCAACCATATTTGTAATTGTAACAATGGTTGGTGTAGCATAGATTGTACTTCAAGTGCTCAGTAAATCCATGGAACTGTGGGTTCCATCCCTTGGGTGTATTTTAATTTGTCTGAAGGACAAGTTTCATTGACCATGAAGAAAACATTATCATTTCTATCAATGAATATACAACATCATGTGTATCATTATTAGTATTGTCATTAGAAGATGGCATTTCGTCCATTTTATGCTAATTTGAGTGAGAGTTGATATATTTATCTTTTGTGTATTATGACCAGAATTGTAATTTTTTGTCATTTTATTTGTAATATATTTTGAAAGATGACAGAGAGAATAAAATATGAGAGGGAGAGAGTAGTACATGCATTCTACATGAGTTTCGTCAAATCAGAATGACACATGCTCGTATAATAATCTCTATTTATTATCCCCCGCCCAACAAAGTTGGGTAGGGTTCGTTTCCGGAGCATAACTCATAAACCGTTCAATATTTGTTCATGAAACTTTGCAGGTTTGTCATGCTTAACTGGTGCCTTTTGCTATTTAGAAATTTTAGAAATTTTTATTTTATACGTTTCCATGGCAACAAGATGGACTTAGGTTCCAAACTCTTCTTTTTTTACAATTTCCATGACAAGTTCAACCTTGGATAAAAAAGGTTTAGATTTAACTATGTCATAAATTCTGCAACAGGGGCAGGGGGATATGGCCACGTTAGTGGCAAATTTTGTTACACATTGGGTTAGAAATAAACGAGTTAAAAAGTTTTTATGTGGACTAGTGCAAATATCACATCTCGTGCACCAGTATATTGTTTCCGGCATCTGGACGGCATTGTTGACGGCATTTGAATCTTATTGTCATGTAAGGTCAGAATGACGTCACACTAGAAATTACGTCATAGCTGAAGATTGTTGTCATTTGACAAATTTTGGTGTTCTAGGACAGCTGTAATGATCAGTGCATTTTTTCTAAAGGGGAGCCCAAAAGAATTAAGGAGGGCACGGGTGGCCCAGTCTTCTAAGGCACCGCGATTGGCTGTGCAGAGTTGCTTCCCTTTGGCACGCCAGAAACCTATGATTGTGGGTTGAATCCTGGTTTGCCTAGATTATGTTTCTAGGTTTGTCAGCACTATACCCGTGCTCGTGGGTTTCTAGGAAGTGGTAAACGTCTGAGACCTGCATCACTTCGGGCTTTCCTCCCACATTAAGCTGACACCTCGTGATATAACAGGAATACTGTTAAAAGCGGTGTTAAAACCAACTCACTCACTAACTCTCTCAAAAGAATTAAGACAATGGATAGTAAAGAAATTATTACACTCACATGTATGTCATACTGATTTTACGAAACTCATGTAAGAATTTAAGATTTTTTTATGTACTCGGTTATTTCTAACGCTATGGGTAATAAATTGGTTATGATTTTATGCATGTGCATAGTTTACAAAAGGGTGCAATAAGATGTGTTTACTGTATGTGCAGTCGGAAGTGAGCTGTGGTATGAATGAGTCCGTCATTGTCCATGTTTAGTTGTGTAGGGACTATTGTGCACCCAGGTCCATCTCTGGTATATATAACCTGGCGATACTTTGACTTGAGATAACAGCAGACGAGCAATATTTGCCTGTAGACAAAGTATTATATCCATGTATGCAGTGTAATTTGTTTCACTGACAAAGGATTACTTTTCTGTTAGCAAAGTATTTTTATACTATGAAGAAGAGGTAATTTTTTCTAACATTTAAGATTATTTTACTTGAGGGTCAAGAATGGGAAATGGGTTATATGATGTGGGAAAAGCGTTAATTCCTATGGGCTGAGGGTTACAATACCATGGGCAAAGGATTATTTTAGTTTACAGAGGGTTCTGTGTGTTTTCTTACATCAGACCTGTGAAGATCCAGGGTAGAATAGGTCTTCAGCAATGCATGCCAACTATGCTTGTTGTCAGAGGCGAGTAACAGGATCGGGTGGTCAGGCTCGCTGACTTGGTTGATGCATGTCATCTTATCCCAATTGCATGGATCGATGCTCATGTCAATCACTGGATTGTTTGGTCCAGACTCGATTATTTACAGACTGCCAGCATATAGCTTGAATATTGCTGATTGCTGCATTAAACAACAAACAAACAACCAAACTCTTACATCAGAGTGGAATGCTACACACTCAGCCTGGTCAGCAAGTTCTACTCATGTCAACCAGTAGTCATCATATCTTCACTCTTTAGCTCAACTGAATGTCGCTCAACTCCTGACTAATCCATCCGTCTGTCTGTCTGTCTGTTTATTTATTTGTGTACATGTGCAACACCAGTATTGACAGATCCCAAACATGTCATTTGATTCAACTTTTTTTCCATGTATTCTTTCACAAAATATGATTTTCAGTTATAGCCATGAGTACATAAACAGCAAATGTCGTTTTGGTGAAGTCATTCATGTGAGGAATTTAGTTGTATAATGTTTTATGGTTTTATGTATGAAAGAGTGCTGTGTGAGTCTCTGATGTGTGAATGTGGACCTGGATGGTGTCTGGACACTCACAAAGTATTCCTCAAAGTATGTATTCCCTGAATCATGTTGATCATGTTTGTGTCATGTCATGTCATGTCATGTGTATAATGCAGTGATCGTTCCACCATACTGAAGTTATCAACACTCCTAGTACTAAAGAACTGGTCAATCAGTCATGTGATTGAGAAACTTTAGATGTATATTTTTGCTTTATAATAACAGCAAACTTTGCAGTATTATAAGCTGAGGTTTCTCAAGGTATTGGACTTGGGGTTGTTGATTAAGTTCAGTGTGGCAGTATATGGAGTATGTTATTAAATAAAGGTTGTCAACATTATGCAAGGTCTGTTTTATATTCTGTGGGTCCAGCATGTGTCCAAAGTGTGCTGCAAGGATCCTGTTGTCCTGTGTTTGAATCCCAGGTTTTCCCTGATTGTTCTTGGTTTGTTGGCACCATGGCCATGAGGTAAACATGAGACTTGCTCCCATATTAAGCTGGCAGCAGAGATGTTCAAAGGGGACCAAGTGCCTCCTTCATTTCCCTACTCGGATTGCTGATGGAATTCTGGGGATATTCTGTCAGAAACTGTCTGCCTGAAGTTCTCATGCCTAAATAGTTTGCAGTATTGTGGTGAGATGTTAGCACTAAAGAAATGGAGCTTGATGTTGGGATTTCTGAAAAAGGCTGTTGTCTTGCCTTGTGAGGTCGGGCGTTGTCTTGTTGGAAAATGACCTTCGCTTGTTGCATAATGGAAGGACGGGTGGTCGAAGAACTCATCCATGTAACGTTGTGCCGTTAAATTACCCTAACTTGCACCAAGTCTGTTCTGCCAATGTAGGAGATGGCATGCACACATCATCACACTATCACCACCAAATCTGTCCACTTCCTGTATGCAGTTTCGCGCAGAATGTTCCCCGTGACGCCTGCAAATCCGAAATCTACCATCCGCACGGTGAAGCATAACCAAATTGGTCATCGACAATAACATTGACTCGCCAATAAACCAAACTTATCTCCATCGCAGTTGTGCCCATACTCTGTGACCTTGACACCATTGACGTCGCAGCCGACGATAAAGGTTCGTCCTAATCACACCTCGAACTGGTCGTCTAGCTCGAAGACCTTCAGTGCCTAAACGGTTCCACACTGTCTGGGCTGATATCCTACGCAATCCTGCATGGTATTGCCATAGTTGTAGAGGCCATTCAAGAATTGTTCTTGAAAGTTTCGCAGGGGCTAGCAGGGGCTAGCTCCTTAAAGGGGAAGTGTACACGCAAAAATCACTTTCTTTCTTTTTCTAAACAAAACGCAATTTTAGAATTAATTAGTATCTGTGTTTGAAAATATACACTCATTTTTTTCACAGTGAAAGTAGGAAGCTCACAATAGTGTGAAAATGATATACCGTTATGAGGCCTTCGTTTTTCGAGCTAAACATGCCTGAGTTATCCCCCTTAGATTATGACGTAATTGGTGCCAATTCAACTGGGTCCCTGTCTATTCTCAACGCAAAAGATATCAAGTACCAGTTTGCGGTAAAACAACATGGCCTACGACACACTCCGGCGCAGTGGTGACTCAGCATAACACTATGCTGGCTGGCATCTGAGACGCTAGAATCACACAACTAGACCTACACCACGTGAAGCGGCTCTAACAAAGCATGATGACGTCATAATGTTTATCAATTGGCACCAATGACGTCATATTGCAAGGGGCATAAGCCATGGTGTTTTTGTTGTGGAAATAGAACACTTGGTAAATGTGAAAAATATAAATCGTTTTAATGCGAAAAATATGTTAATTAATTGTGATATTTTTATATTTTTGTCCATGACACTTCTAGGTTAACACTTTTAATGTGGAAAAAGTACAAGAAAAATAGGTTAATTTCCGTGTGAACTTGCCCTTTAAGCAGTTTACTGTACTCTACAGACCAACTGTTCATGAAGAGGTTTGATTTTGAACACCTTTAGGAACATACTTATAGCTCTCCCCATCTTATTAATTAGTGAGTTAGTGTGGTTTTACGCCGCTTTTAGCAATATTCCAGCAATATCACGGCGGGGGACACCAAAAATGGGCTTCACACATTGTACCCATGTCGGGAATCGAACCCGGGTCTTCGGCGTGACGAGCGAACGCTTTAACCACTTGGCTACCCGACGGCCCCTGGACGGAAGAAACAACGTGCCATCAAAATAATGATTTGTCATTTAAAAGTGTATTCTTCGCACTCCCGTATTTGAAATCAGTATGTGTTGTATACACCGTATCTGCTATCGCAGCCCCATGCACTGGCACATTTGTTTACCTGATAATAAAACGAATATTTCGGACACCGTTATTCTAATTAGCCTTCGTCATTGCACATGCATGCACTAACTGCTCTCACAAGTCTTGTTAAATCAGAGGTGTCGTCTCCAAGTCATGATTATAGCCTAAAACTGTTCAGCAGTAGGTCTTTAAGTTAATACAAATATGTCCTTTTAATCGGATTCGAAACCTGGCAAAGTCAATCGTATATCGTCAAAGATATGTGACTTCAATGAGACTGTTGAAAGTTAAATCAAAGCAAAATCGGTTCTGTGTTGGAGAAAAGTATATGGTGATGGCCATTCCTGTGATTCAGTTCAAAGGACAATCGATCAGAGAATAGATACACCATTGGGGAAAAAGTAGCAGACAATTTCACCATGTGCTGTCTCAGTCTGTATCTGTTAGTTTAACGTCTCCCTCAGCAATATTCCTGATATATGGCGACTGTCTGTAAATAATCGAGTCAATCCAGTGATCGATATTGTGAGCAACGAACCACGCCGTCGGTGAGGTGAGGTGAAATGGGGTTTAACGTCGCGTCCAACATTATTGCACTTATATAGCGACGTGCATGTACGTGTGTATGTTTGTGTGGCTGCTTGTACTAGTCCGGACTGATGCCGATTTATAGTGCTAGCTCACTGAGATACCATGACGCAGTTTAACATGAATACCCCACTCAGACACAGTTTACTGACTCCGAGCCGACCAGTCCTTGTTTTAGCCCCTTAATGCCGAGCGCCAGACAGGGTAACAACAAGTATCATCTAACGTCTTTTGGTATGACGCGGTCGGGGATCGAACCCCGGACCTTCCGCTCTCCGGGCGGACGCTCTACCACTAGACCACGGAGGCGGTCACCACGCCGTCGGAGTACGATATGACACGCAATCAACCAAGTCACCGAGTCGGACCACCAGAACCATGTACATGGTCGCTTCTTAGGACGAGCAATGGTCGCTTGGAGTATGGTATGGTTTTATGCCGCTTTTAGCAATATTCCAGCAATATCACGGCGGGGGACACCATTGTACCCATGTCGGGAATCGAACCCGGGTATTCGGCGTGACGAGCGAACGCTTTAACCACTAGGCTACCCGACCGCCCCTATGGTCGCTTGGATCCAATTCTAACCTTGAATCCCCAGGGACGTGTGCTCTCTGTAGACATGTAAGACTACTTTTCAAAAATAACATATTTATTGATTTCTTTTTTCTGTTCGGTCTTCTGCCTTCTACTTTACTATATACTGACTGTGGTATCACTTCAAAATAGTGTTTGTTTGATCTCTTTTAAGATTTTTAAGCTGCTGAACACCATATAATTTTAGGGACAGGCCTATATAGGACCTCACCATTCACCTTACAGTCTTTTGAATAACAAAACAACCTCAATTGAGATTAAAGGGAAAAAATAACCTTTCTACAAAGAAACAATCTTATTTCAAACGCTCGATGCAGATTACGAATCTCGTTTCAGCAAGATTTCCTACTTTCAATAAGACCGCCTCTTAACTTTCAACCAATCAGATCAAATTTATTTTCGAGCATGCGCGCATCTTGCAGATCCAGCAGACGATGGCCTCAAGACGACAGACGTGGGGCAACAGTAAGAATATTTTATGTTTTAACTGCCTGTTAATAATTTAACGAGCACGACATCAACAACTGTAAAAATATTCAGCATGCATTATATGTAGCAAATGATGACATTTAGGCTACAACAACGACACGACCATAACAAGCCGTTGGTCCGATAGCACTTAACATTCTGATGTCAAACGTGTTTTTGGCCCAGTTCACGAACTAGGAAAGTATAGACTGGTTGCATGTTGAGTCTTAATTATCTAACTTTTCAATCTTTGTTGAACTTAAATATATAGTCTCAGTCTAGGCCTATTCAAAAGTTTATTCGAAGAAACCAATGGTTATTTGCGTTTCTGTTTTGTCATGCATGTCTCATTTGACTTATTCATTAATTTGGTTGAATTCTTGATAATCTATCTAAATAGGATAGGCTAGATATCCACACACTCCATAGGAATCAACATGGAACTCGGACGGAGGGAGAGAAAGCAGAAACATTATGTTCGAAAAAGAATAATCACCGAAAATGAAGAATTCTTGGAAGGAACCAGCACTGCGAAAATGCATTCTTTTGATGCGAACCACCAGAGTCAACATTACGTACAAAATGTGCACAGAGGGAGAAAAGATGCCCAAACAAAGCCGTATTCAAAACAGCAAAAAGTGGACAAGCACTTTAAACAGTCTAAAACAAGTAATCAAAGAAAGGATAATAGTTGGTTGACGTGTATTGTACAAAAGTAGTAATGGGCATTTGGGTATATATAGCTGTTCTCGACCATGGTAGCTCTAAATTAAAAGACTAATTGTCACATTGTCTTCCAGGCTCTGTTGGTTTAGATGTGAATATTAATAAAAATATATTTTCTTCCGGCCATGTAAGGGACAAACGTTGAAGGCCTTGAATTGACCTGCACTAGACCATTCAGCATAGTTCATTCAAGTTTAACTCAGTCAAATAAAATGGTTTTCTATAGTTCTTTAGAACACATGTAAGCAGGATTGTTCTATTTCTGTTGTAGATAAGTACAAATGTTTCTTAATTTAATACTACAGCCCAAAGGACAGGGATGGCAGGTAGAGAAAGAGGCAGTGTTCTTCAGCCCACTTTCACACTATCACTTGTGGAACCATCACTAGTAGAAAGAAGAAGATTTAACATCAAAACAAAGCTGATCACATCCTCAGATACATGTTTTACTAGGGTAAATATCTGAACCCATGGATACATTTCTCAGAAATTACTGATTAAGTAACAAAAATAGTAAATATAGTAGATCCTCTGCCTAATCAGAAGTTAAAAGGAATTAATTTATGTCATAGTTTGTGGATGGAGTATTAAACATATTTTTTCTTTAATTATGGATTGGTTTTGAAGATGATGTAATATTATTGTTGGGATATCTGCATGTTTTGTGAAGTTTAAATATGTGCCCAAATTTAAAATAAAATGAATTTGTTGAAACTATGGACTTGTCTAAAAGTGTCCAGTGCTACACACTGTATAGCTTAACTAGGAGTGTAGGTATTGTGTGTATTTTAAATTCAAATTCAAATCATGCTTCACTTCCAGCTTGAAGAACAAGAAATAAACCAGAGAGCAGAGGTGTATGCACTGACAACTTTGGCAGAAACTGAGTTCTACATCCTACCAGAGAATGTCAACAATGAGGAATCTCATTCCGCCAGTGGTGGAAATTCCCACATGTCACAAGGAGCAGAATCCACCAAGGAAAGAGCAAAGAGAAAACGCAGATCTTACAGTAATATTGACTGCTTTGTTACACAGTCAAGGAAGGAAGATGGCTGTGGAGATCGTCACTTTCTTCCAGCAGGTATACTATTTTATAACAGTGTTCATAGGCGTCGATAAAATTTGTAACTTGTTATTGATGTATACAGTTCATAATCCTTTTTTTTGTCCTGCATGTCTTTCACATTTTCTGAAGCAAGTTTAGTTTCATCATATTTTTTTTACAATAATTACCATATTAGTAACAAGTTGTTTGATATTTAGGACAGAAATATTCATGATGTTTAAACATTAAACATTATAAAGTTTTGCAAAATACTGTGAAGGCTAGTTCATCATTAAGCCTAATTCTTAGATTTTTATTCAATTTTTCAAAATATGAGGCAGGAGGCATTTTATTTTACATATTTCTATTTTAAACAAACTGTTCAAGACATCTGACAACTGTCCACTGAAGTGACTGATATGTAGCATGATTAAAAAGGGAGATCATTCTATGTTCTATGGATATACAGCTTTATTACAATGAATGTGACATTTTGGTGAAGAGATTGACACTTTTATCAAGCAAGTGCTGTACAGAAATGTCAAGTTAGTAGGAAGGTTATATACATGTCATGTGGATAACTGATGTTTAAGTAGGAAGGTGAGCTCCCTTGGTCATCATACCAACTTCTCAAAGCCACTTAAAGAAGTCATGAAGCATGATTGTTTGGAAGGACAAGGATTATAGTGTACTTCATCAAGTAAACAGAAGGGAACACTCACTGAAATTTTCTTCATGTGTAGGTACAATATAATGTTACAAGGCAGGATTTGGGGTAGTAAGATGGGTGGGGATGAAAATCCCAAACTTAACTACTTAATTTCATGTATTTTTTTCCAATTTGTAATGACCTGTTGCTTTTTGTTTCACCTTTATGTAGATGTTGGCTCATGTTCTAGGTACAAAACTACTGAAACCTCCCAGAAAGCTGGTGGAGCTTGTGGCTGAGGCCATTGATCAGAGTCCAGATGGTCTTTTACAAGTCCAACAGATCTATGCTGTTTTACAGTATGTATTAACCTTGTTCTTCACAGCACATTTCTGTCCAGCAAAAAGGCAATGCGCATCTTTCTGAGTGTTCCCAAGTTTAGACCAATAAATTTCTTTCTTTGTAAAACTAACTACAGACTATTAAATATTTGGTTATGATAAATGATATTTTCCAAAATTATAAAGAATAAATTCATGGAGACCCTACTCCAAAGCTGATTTGCCTGAAGCCAAGATAGAGATGGTAACACAGTGGTGTCACAGTCAGGTGAGCTTATAGTCTTCACAAGGCACCTGACCGCCTCCGTGGTCTTGTGGTAGAGCGGAAGGTCCAGGGTTCGATCCCGGGCCGCGTCATACAAAAAGACGTTTAAAGATTGTACTTGTTGTTACCCTGTCTGGCGCTCGGCATTAAGGGGCTAAAACAAGGACTGGTCGGCTCGGAGTCAGTATACTGTGTCTGAGTGGGGTATTCATGTTAAACTGCGGCATGGTATCTCAGTGAGCTAGCACTATAAATCGGCATCAGTCCGGACTAGTACAAGCAGCCACACACACACATACACGTGCATGCACGTCGCTATATAAGTGCAATAATCTTGGACGCGACGTTAAACCCCATTTCACCTCACCTGACAAGGCACCTAACCATACCAAAAAGTACTTGAATTGCCATGCTTAATATATTTCATTTGTTTCAGCGGATGTATCTAAAATTTGTTTAAAAAAGATATGTTTAACCCAACCTTTCCCTGGTCCCACCCAAAATCGGGGATGAATTACACCCATCCAGGATGATTTTTAGAGTTAAATAAAATCAGCAATGAAAGATATTTACCGCAGTTAGAATCAGCAAGTCTAAAAGATCTATGAAGCATAAAGTCTTTCCTGTCAGAGATCATATGCATTAGTAATCCCAAAACTATATGATGCATTACCGGTGTATGCTAGCAAGTCCGAGAATGATAATATTTTGATTTAGCTGGCAGATGTCATATCTTCAACATCTTTGTTTCAGAAACAAATTTCCTTACTTCCGGTTCATTGATAAACCTGCCATTAACAGTTGGAGGGTAAGTTCTGCATGTTAATATACCTGGACATTATATTCTCTAAAACTGAACCTTTATGAGCATGATGTAATATGCTAGTTGAAAATCATTGGTTGATATCAGTAATAAACACACTAGCTCCCAGTTACCATCAAACTTATGCAGTTCCTGATAGGTAACACAGTTCAAACTGTACATGTACAGTATGTAATTGAACATTTTCTGCTTATGCTCTCTTGAGAGAGTGAGTTTAATTAATGAAACTATTGTGGCACAAATTGCATGTATTGTTTTGTTTCCAGAGTTCAATTCGCCATGCTCTGTACCAGAAGTGGTTCCGAAAGATTCGCTTTTCAACAGAAGCGATAAGCACAAAAGGTTGTTTCTGGGCCATAAACCGCTCCCTTGCTCCCAATGAATGGATTGTACCCTACAACCCAGGTTAGTCATTTCTTTAGGAGTACTAAAGTTCCTTTTTTTATAATGAATATAGGTATATTATTAGATACTCAATACATCGAGATATACACTTCAATCATTTGACATTAGTTTTGTATATTTACCAGACCATTACATGATCTCTCGAACACCTAAGCCCAAATCCACAACACCCTTTTTGGACATGCTGCAAGAACCAAGTGTTGAAGATGAACATCTCAAGGTAAATGTTTGCAACATTATTTCATTAAACTCTTGGCACAGCAAAGTGAAGTTGGCAACAGCAGAATAGATCTTGAAAACAATTACCACAGTTCCTAAGTTGTTCTAATGTATGTTAATGTTATTGTTACAAATTTTGGATAAAACAATCTGTGCCATAACATTGTGAATCTATGAGCCCAAAATCACCAGACATCACTTTCAGTAGATTGTAACTTGTTAATAAAGCAACTTTTATTGGCTGAGCCTACCAAGTCACTCAAATCTCAGACTTATATCTATATAACAGGCTGATAATAAAGGATATTTTTAGGTTCTTATACATAGAGCTGTTATGTTCACCTGCAATAATGTAGTTGAGATTGTCTTTCTCAAGAGGAAAGTGAATTATTGTTATTGTTACTTAAATAAGTGAGTTAGTTGAGTTAAATGTAGAGATTTGAACAGCTAAACTTGTGAGAAAAGTCAAATGTGATGCATTGTGTAGTTGTTTACCACTTTGGTAAAATCAATGAGCTCGAGCACTGAAACCAAGTATCATAATCAGGGTGATTCAAATCCATTACCAGCCTATCCTGGCATAAGTGAGGGATGTCCCTAGTGAACTCAAATGCTTTGAAACCTGAGGACAGTGAAATGATCCATCTTTCTCCAACAGGATGTAATTCAGATAGCCAAGGAATATGGTATCAGCTTCCCGGAGTGTATTGCGGAGGCCAAAGGAGAGTTCCAGTCTCTCCAGGTTCTCAATGTCCCTTCCCCTGTCCGAGATCCAGACCCCATCTTGGTGGCATGTGTACCAGAGAGATCAGCTAACACACCCAAGGCTGTAGCATTCCAAACATGCTTTGATACTGATGAAGGTAAGCCTCAGTTCTCTGGTCACCAGATTTATGGACACTTGTATCACTGGTGTTTTGAACTTTTATTAATACACAGTGCAGCAATAATCTATTACCAAGCAGCCAATATTTGGATTAAAACCTTTACATATTAAGAAGGCTGGGGAAAGATGTACCTGGATACTGACCCTTTATGACTATAAAAATCAGTTTCCGATTGCATCGCTATACCATAATGTGGCTTTTTTCTTGATATATCTTGCATGAAACACTTCCAAAAATAGATCACAGGGCTGACAATGAAGTTATCAAAAACTGAAAACAAGTTCTCTCATGATTTATTTCATGAGTTCTTTTCTCAATCATTATATTCAACATTTTATTAAATGCCTGATGTCAACAATGACAGGATTTGATGAACTGCCCTTGAAGTTGACTCCTCTGAAGATAAGCCCAGTGACTGGCAACACCTCTGACGGCAACACCAACTCCTGCTGCACATCCCCCAATGACAGCTCTCTACTTGCCTGGACTTCCCTCAGTTTTGATGACCTGCCAAACCTCTTCTCTCCATCATTCAGCAACCACCCCTATGGCATGCCAGTCTTCCCTGATCATTAAATCTAGATCAATCTATCACAAAATAAGTTGCAGTCATATCTAGTACTGTATCACACCTCGATAGATTCACTTAACATTCAATCAAATGTGGCCATGTGTGAGCTACACACACTATATTTACTTCATGTAATTATCAATATGAAATAAATGTCATCCTAAACATTTCTTTCTAGAGCAGAGAGAGTATTATAGTGTCATATGCTTGTCATTGCTGGACACTTTTTATCACTTGAGTGGAGCCAATATGTCTTATTATAAACAACACTGCCGATTAATGTGTCAGATGGCATGCTACTCTTGAAATGAAAATGTATATATCAAAGCGATTCTTACTAACATGTCTGATGATGTTGGTTTTTAGTTAATTCCGAACGTGTTTTTTTCCATCCATCCGTATCTTTGCCTAGACAATTGATCATTATATACATAGGTGAGCTCTTATTTTGTACATGCATGTGTATGTATGTTATTTGGGAGTCATTATTTTTTCTGTATTTAAATTAGAAGTAAAATGGTCATCAAATGTATTTTTTTAAATATATTTTTTTTATGTAGGCAGTGCCTGTGAAACATGAATATATTTTGGTAGCTTTGCATGTTTTACAAAATTACCAAGTAAAAAATGGTCCACCCCAATGATAATTTTATAGGAATTACATGTGCTACATGTAATGTAATACATTACTGAAGAATATTATCAATGAAGTGTAATAACTTCATGAATCTAATGATATTTTTCTGGCATTTGTGTTGTGTATTGATTATTTTCATAATACATGTACATGCATATTTCTTAGTCATAATAAGTTTGACATTTTTAAAAAATAAACTTTCCTTATACCTGTATACTGAGTTTTGAAAGTGTCATTACATGTATTTTGCTTGGAAAAAGAAAAAGAAAAACAGGGTCTATCAAAATATTTTAATAAACAGTGATATAGAAAACGTTGATCATAGATAATGCTGCAGCTGTCGTAGAGCAAGAATTTTGCTTGACATTGACATAATTATCATTGTGGACAAATATAATAGCTATCCAGATGCTTTTGGACGACTATGACAATGTGGTTCCTAAAAATGTTTACTCAATAACAAATAACAGATCCATCAACATATCAACGCCATGATCAATTCTTAATGAAGACAACACACAGGCTCACAACACAGTATTCAGAAGTAATCAGATGGTGCCAAGATTTCATATCACTGATACTGTGGCATTCATATGGTCCACTCCACGCTCTCATGTATCACAAATTTCTTAGGCCTTCTCCAAGATAACAGTGATTCCCTGCCCACCTCCAATACAGGCACTTCCAAGAGCAAACCTTGCATTTTTCCTCCTGTAATTAAAGGATAAATTTATAAAACCTAAACATGTCAACACTCCTGTTTACCACATCATACTTAACACTACATTGGACTGTCTCTTTCTTAACCTAAATTTACAAATGATATTGAATCAACATCATCAAGATTGCTCTGAATTGTAAATTGTGGACTTTAATGTGTGGACAAGGGATTTTTCACCCCAGTAAGTTCTAGATCACCAAGTGATACAATTTTTACTCTCACCCTTATAATACTTGTACATGGCATTCTTACATCACTATTTTGGAATTTCCTAACTGGACCATTAAGGTTTAAACCTTATGGCTAACTTTCAAGGATATTAATCTATGATATAGTAAATTTTTGAAGTTGTAGATTTATACACTTATCCTATCTCACACTATACATTTCTTCTTTCTAATTTCAATCTTTATGTGGAGAACGTGCTTGAACAAAGTTTCCAGCTTCTAGTTCTAAAACATTTCACCCGAACACATCTCAGTATCACCATGGTCACCACTCCATCAACTGGGTCATGCACTGTAATCCCATGCCACATGATCACCTGACTACCCCTGTCACTTCATTCTCTTGCCTGGAGATGACAGGCTAGCGGAGCTGTGATGCAGTGATAGTCGGGAGGGCATATAGCATGTGAGATAGGATAAGTATCTAAATATACAATTCAATGAAATATTTACAAATTCTTAAACTTATCCTATCTCACACTATGCATTTATCCCATGGTTGGACAGTGGGGCACAGATACCCTAGCCTGTAGAAACAACAACCGTGAGACAAACACACAGAAGCTGGTGCTTAACAGTGATACGAATATAATAATCTATAACACGGCCTCATGTCAAAAAGACAAGAACTCGTAGTGGGTAAAATTACCATAACAGGCAAAGTGATCCCTTAACACTAGTCAGAAAGTGGTATGAAGAGTCTCTTGCGGGCACACTGAAGTGGTCATTTGCCCTTGAGGTAAATGCCGAGCGTTCTAACTGGGTACAGCGAGATGTCTTCATGTTCATCTGGGCTCAGGATAAATGCCTGAGGGGATGGTGAACAAACGGTCTGGCTCTCCTGGAAGCTGATTCTTCGCTATGAAGGCCCAGAAAACCTTTCTGTCCTGTCATCTCTTAAACTGCACCCTGGTAACATCATGTGCGTGGATCTCACTTATTCCTCAGCAAGTGGTTCATACTCGGCAGACGTCAAATGGCAGGGGATGAAGATCCCAAGTGGGCTTCCGCAATCGTTACCACTGATCAGCCAGCTTGAAGGACCAAATGAGGCACTGTGGTTCAGCAACCGTGGAGATCTTCGATCTGGTTGTAGTGGAGAAGACTTAGTCTGTACGATTGGTATGATTTGGGACGGAAGTTCCCCGTCACATAGCTGATGCAAGTCACTTAGAGTATGAGTTGCCTAGCTTGGCTGACTCACCAATGTCCTTGGAAGCAGTGAAGGTGACAGAACGCATGGTGGAAGACTTGTAACCATGTTAGCTATGATGACCATGGCCTCGGCCATGAAAAGATCTCAGCACCTCCTGGAAGTCTCGCTGTAAAGGGAAGAACTGTGGTCGACTTCGGTCCCTCTTTTGTTGGTCCTCCAGGTGCGGTCTCTGAAGCCAGAGTAGGTCCATGGATACCTTGAGATGTGTGTCCCCCTTAACACCAAGGACGACTTCCTGAATCCTGGCAGCAAACAGGTACTGGGTAGACAAAGGAAGCTGCTATAAACATGCCTTGAAGTTGTCATCCCACTGACAGTGGTGGAGGACACACCGATGGCGGAGAGCTGTGATGTGGTGATACCCTTAAACTTCTCTTGTATCAGCGTAACGGAACCTCTAGTTAATGCGTCTTCTGAGAACTTGGCATGGGACATAGACGTAACGATGGCTTCCGTTGCCAACAGGATGTATGAAATACGAGTGAACATGAGAGCCTGTACGTCTAAGTTGAATCAAAGAGTTTGAAGTCAATCTCGGAAACATAGGAAAGTGTAGAAAAGGCCTTGTCCAAATGACTAGCGGCATCAGACAGGATGAGCCTGGGAGGCAGTGTGATGGCTGAAGAACTGGTGTTGGGTACGACGATAGCTGGTCATCCGTTGAAGTACTGTGCTGAAAGTTGATCCAGAATCTAAGGTAGGAAAATCACTGGATAGTCGTTATCGAAGCTCCTGTAGATGTGGTGGGGGAAGGCTGACGATCCAAGATGACATCAGGCGATGCAGTAAAAGAATCCAGGTTGAACAGAATTGGATCAAGGAGGAGTGGACAAGGGAGAGTCGAAGCGGCACGTTGAGGCACTATCGGCTGACCGGAACGGTGCTGTAGGGCAGAAGTCATGTCCAGAGACGAAGTACGAGTCTGGTCATGATGGTCCCAATGAGGTAGACAAAGGCAGAGGAGGTGGAGCTGACACAGCTAAAGGGAGCTTGCGCAGGAACCGAAGATGGAGATGGCTATGTGGATCTACTTGGAGAACGTTGATCCATACGAGTGTCCACTGGAGATGAGCTTTGATGTGAAGGAGTGGCTCAACAATCCTCTTGTTGACCGGACCCATGGACCAATCACTGGGAGGTGCGAAACGATAGAAGTCGGCCCAAGAGCGATAGTCAGGATAAGGGTAGACAAGCATAGGATGATACAGATCCAGATGGGGGGGAGGATCCCAGCCATGTAGACTATCCTCGTATTCACTTAGTCAAAGATGATCCCAGGATGAAGGCGGAAAGTCTTGTTGCTCAGGGTTTGAGTCATAGGAGCGGAAACGAACCTGAAGATGCTGACGATCCGAATAACTTGTAGAAGGAGAGCGATACTGAGCTGATGATCGATCTGCATTATAGGAATCATCGTTTGAATGATGGTGAACTTCAGGAGTAATACGTGACGAATCAGTAGCACCACTGCGATGTCGATTCGTAGAGCAATGATCCTGAGAAGGTCGATCCCAAGAGTGATCCGTAGATCCGGAACATTGAGCCTCCGATGAGTGATCAGGAGAGGGTCAATATCCTGGAACAGCGACTCCTAGAGGAAGCCAGCCGATTTTTATCAGAGTTGTGAGTTCGATCCTCAGACAACTGACCCGGGATGAAGCTGAAACCAGTACCGTCGACTTGGGAGGGACTGAGTCTCGAGTCGAAGAAGTCAGGTCCGCGACAACAGGAACATCACCTGATGAGCGACTGGCTGTCGAAGCTGTCTTGTACAAGCGGTCCTTATAGAGAACCATGCGAGCTGCTGGTTGCTCCAACGTAGGCATAGACACGGTCGCACTGGGGACAGGCAGCTGGGCCGACTTGGTGGGAACATCGTCAGTGAGGAAGCTGTCTGAAACACCAATATCTTACACTGACAAGGAGGGTATGGTTGACGTTGGAGGAGGTTTCATGTTGGACCTGATGGAGGGGACAGCTGGCTTGGTGTCCCATTTGGGCTTCATAGCAGAGAAAGGCCCATGCCCCAAGTCATTGGACTTCCTCCGGCACACAGCAGAGATCATGAGGATCCACAGTGGAGAAAATACGGCGGCATTTTAAACAAGCCGGGTGTTGATCACGTTCTGTACCCATCCTCTCTCAAATTAGTGTTGTAAATGTATTTACAATCAGGAGGTAGCCTTCGCCAAAAAACAGGGAAATGTATTCTCTAAAACCCAATACACGTCTCCACAGGGTGGTGATGAGAAAAAGCATTAGGTTGCAGGGATAGTAGGTGATCGTATCGTGTAAAGTCACAACGCACGGGATTACAGTGCGTGACCCAATTGATGGGGTGGTGACCATGGTGATGCTGAGATGTGTTAGGGTGAAATATGTTTAGAAGCTGGAAACTTTGTTTAAGCATGTTTCCAAATGAGGATCAAAAGAAGGAAGAAGTACATTGATTGAGATAGGATAAGTTTAAAAATTTGTTACATGTCAGTTATCAAAAATGTTAACAATAACTTGTCCACCTCTACATAAATAATAGCCTGGCGATATCACTTTGCATGCTATCTTGTTACATAAGATCTTCCCTTAACAAGAAAACTTTTCTTCCTATCTTTATTTATTACTTCTGAATCAATCAAATATATTGAAGGCTTGCTCGGATGAGGCTGTCTATAGATTTTGCAATGAGAAGGGGGAGTTTCATTGATTGTTGATTACAAGCTAAGATGGTGATAAGAGAGGCAGAAATGATGACATCCCTTTCGAAACAAAGCGATGACGGCAGATGGGTCCAAATATATACATATATTCAAATAAAATGGAGACATGACACACATTAAAATTGAGGATAAAGACTGTCAAACAGCTTACCCCAACTCGTGTGCAAGATGAGCTGTTATCCTGGCTCCAGAGGCTCCAAGAGGGTGTCCCAGGGCTATTGCTCCACCACAAGCATTGGTGATCTCTGGGTTCAATCCCAACTCCTTTATCACAGCCAGGGACTGGGCAGCAAAGGCTTCATTCACCTGAATCATGAAAGCTACACTATTAGTCTGTGCAAGCCCAAACTGTAGAATTTGGTGTATCATAAGGTAAGGTGAGGTGAGGTGAAATGGGGCTTAACGTTGCGTCCAAGATTATTACACTTATGTAGCAACGTGCATGCGTGTGTGTACAAGTTTCGACTGATGCCGATTTATAGTGCTAGCCCACTGAGATACCATGCCTCAGTATAACATGAACTCAGACACAGTATACTGACTCTGAGTCAACCAGTCCTTGTTTTTGCCCCCTTTATGCCGAGCACCAATCTGTGGTTTGAAAGGGAGCTAATTCTTGTTGACTATTCAAACCTAAACGCACTTGTAGATAATATGTACAACTCAAAACAATTGTATCACGAATTACTTTTTTGTCAATAAGTAAATTTCTTGACTTTCAATTGGACAGATGTTTAGAAACTGCAGCAGAACTCACTCATATGAACATCGCAAAACTAGGTCATAGGCTCATTGACATTCATGAGTTATTCCTTTTTCCTGGAACAAGTTCCCGGATAAGTGTGAGGTCATATGCTTTTCCCATGTCTCAGTTCAATTCAAGTTTCGACATAATTTTCCTTTTCATAGAGAGAGGCCCTGATTTTATAAACTTATTATCAGCATTAAACCACTCAAGCAACCAAAGAACCCAAGAGGATGGACACATCACACTCAGCATGCTACAAATGCTGATTTTCTAAAATGTGGGACCACCTGAAGCCATCTTTTCAGAAACATAAAGTGGCACCACATTTGGGGAAAACTAATACAGTAAACAACGGTTAAAATGAACACGCTTATAACGAACTGACGGATATAAAGAACTTACTTTTTGGTCCCAACTATTTGCTGTAGTTATGCTGTATATATGCTTATAAAGAAACTATGGTTATAACGAACTAAATTTAGTAGACCCTTTGAGTTCGTTATAACCGTAGTTTACTGTATTCACAAGATTATTTCACAAGAAATGGTTTAAGTTTGCTGCAAGCTATGAATGGAAAGACGAAAATAAAATATATTTAAACATTTGCTTAAGAACACTGTTATGGATCAGATGGCAAATGAATATTTTGACCAACGACAATGTGCATCATGAATAATGCCATTTTTTGCAAATACGAACACAACAGAGATAACTTCAGATTGTAGAAATGGGGTTACAGATTATTTCCCTTATATAGCAATGTGTGTGTGTGTGGGGGGGGTTTGCTTGTTTTAGTCCCACCGAGATACCATGACATAGTTTAACATGGACACCACACTCTGACACATTATACTGACTCTGTACTGCCTAGTCCTTGTAGTATCCCCTAAACTGTGAATGCCAGGCAGGATAACAACCATCTTTTAACGTCAAGTGGTATGAGGACAGATTGTAATTAGGGTAACCTCCCTTTCTCAATATGAACCACCGATAATACATTTTTGCCCGTGTCAACTTTACAGACACTCTCAAAATGTCTGGGCATCAAATACTGATGAACACAATACACCAAAACCGTGATGTCCACAAAAGGCACACTATCAGCATTAGAAACTGGCACTAGTCCTGTAGTCCTTGCCAAACTGCCAAATAGTTACGGTATCATAAGGTCTAGTAGAAATTTGCCATTTTAATGGTCTTGCTATATGTTATCATTGTAAGGACTAGTGGCCTAAAACTGTTAGTTTCTACCGCTGACTATCAGTAACATATATCATGTATAGTCACTAGTCACACAGCCTGACAACTGATAAAATAACAAACAGTGTTGAAATTTAATCATTCGTCTCTAACAACCAGCTAAGCTTCGCTTTGGACTTATTCCAACCCAGAATGCCCGCAGGGATTTTCTGGCATGTGTACAACATGTTTGAACTTACCTCAGTGAGATCCATGTCTTTCAATTCCTTCCCTGCAGCCTTGAGAGCAGCCTTAGAGGATGGAACAGGACCTATACCCATAATATTGGGGTCACAACCTGCAACAGAACTCTTCACGCTCACATCCAAACTTACAACATGTACAAACTAGGTCGAAGTGTCCGCGTTGTTGGGCTCAACAGACGCTTTGAACTTGCTTTACAACATATTTCTGTTACAATCTCATATTTTACAGTTCAAATATTTGCAGGGGACAATGCAATTCAATTCACTGTGCTGAGTTGCATTCCTTAGCTGTGCCAGGATCTGTTGATCACGAGTCCAGTGCAAAACTGGCTAAGATCCTATGAAGTTTTTGTTTGTTTGTTTGTTTGTTTGATGTTTAACGCTGCCCTCAGCAACATTCCAGCTATTTTACGGAAGTCTGTAAATAATTGAGTTGGGACCAGACAATCCAGTGTTTGACATCATGAGCATCAATCTACACAGTAGAGAAACGATGACATGCATCAACCAAGTCAGCAAGCCTGACCACCCGTTCCCGTTAGTCGCCTCTTACAACAAGCATAGTCACTTTTTACAGCAAGCATGGGTTGCTGAAGACCTATTCTGACCCGAATCTTCACGGGTCTCCTATGGAATGTGGAGATCTACTGAGTACCTGAGATGCCGTAGGACACAAGGCGAGCCAGTGGGGTGAGGTTGTGTTTCTTCACAGCTGCCTCGCTTGCCAGGATCAGAGCTGCTGCTCCATCACACACACCCTGTAAGGAGAACATACTGTCATACTAGCGTCCATAACGAGCATTACCATACCGACTATGTATAAATATAAGATAGCTACACGATAAACCACAAAGAAGAAATAAATCACAATGAAGAACGAAGAATGGTTTATTTCATGATAAAACACTGTTCTATCGTGACATCATTTCTGGAGATTCGAACATGCACTCACAACTTGATGATGTCATAACTTGGACAACATTATTTTTGAGAGGGAGGTGTTGGGGGAGTTGTTCAGCATAGATGTAGCTGGGCAACGTAGATAAACGCAATGGCCGAACGATTGCATCCAAAAGTGGAGAAATAGGACAATCGGTATTGGGAGAAAAAGTACTGATAATCAACATGCAAATTATGAGAATATGCAAGAAAGACCAAATTTAACCCCCCTGTTCATGAAATAGACTTGTCTGACATTTGCGAGGACAGATTCTATTCAGGGAGTTATCATTATTTAAATACGGGTAAATATTTTTAAAGTTTGTACATTTTATTATCATCCTTAAAGAGGCCGTACATAATATTGATATTTCATATAAGAAATAAACATCACATGGAAGTTGTTTATCATACAATAAAACACTGCAGGGAAAATAAACCACAAGGGGCATGCATAAAAAATCTCCAGAAAAGTGTTGCAGTACTTGCAAAAAGAAAAGCAGCTCCTTCAATGACATTTTCTCAATGCTCCTTGAAATCTTTACCTACAACCATCCACTTCCATTCACTTTGAATTTGAGGAAACAAATACCCACTACAGCACAAGCTCTAACCTAAAATAACATGTCTGCAATTGGCTCAATAAGGAATGTAAAAACTTGATTAAAACTCACAGATGCATTTCCTGCAGATACTGTTCCATTCTTCTTGAAAACTGGGGGTAGTTTAGCCAGTGCAGCTGCAGGAGCGAGCCGTGGGTGCTCATCTCGCTCAAATATCTCCTCACCTGTGAGGACCAGAAGAACAGTATTCCAGTTATATCGCGGCGTGTCAGCTTCATGTGGGAGGAAAGCCCAAGGTGATGCAGGTCACATGCGTTTACCACTTCGGTGAAACCCAAGAGCACGGGTATGGTGCTGACAAACTTAGAAACATAATCGGGGCGAACCGGGATTCGAACCCACAATCATAGGTTTCTGGTGTGCCCAAGGGACGCAACTCTGCACAGCGAAATCGCGGCGCCTTCGACGACTGGGCCATCCGTGCCCCCGAGGACCAGAAGAAAATTATCTGATGTGTAAACATGGTCTGAGATCATTCAGACCAATTTTCAAATATACAAGGCAATTCATTCATATCTTACCACCTTAAGACCCTGCTTTATTAAGTGCCTCATCCTGTCCAGAAAAGAAAGATTCCAGTGTCCTTCAAATAACAAGTGTAGTAAAATCTAGATATTTTCTATATATGTATACTTATCCCGCATCACTCCTTATGCATTAAGGTCTTGCTGAAGAGGAAGTTGCTCCAACTGGTTGAGTGGGTAACCCTACATACCCATCACTGAAAACACTAAATTCAGCAAGAGATTTTTGTTATGACCAGTCACCAAGTAATCACCTTTCTTTCCTTTCACTTTCATGGGAACAGTTTCAGCCTTGAAAGCGCCCTCTTCAAAAGCTGAAAGAATCATCACATCAATTATGCAATGGTTAGTGAGTGAGTGAGTGAGTTGGGTTTAACACCTCTTTTAACAGTATTCCAGTTATATCACGGCGTGTCAGCTTAATATGGGAGCAAAGCCTGAAGTGATGCAAGTCTCAGACGTTTACCACTTCAGTGAAACCCACGAGCAGGGGTATAATGCTGACAAACCTAGAAACATAATCGGGGCAAACCGGGATTTGAACCCACAATCATAGGTTTCTGGCACGTCCAAGGGACGCAACTCTGCACAGCAAATCACGGTGCCTTAGACGACTGGGCCACCTGCAATTGTTAGTGGAGCAGCAGTCAGCTCATGGCTCCACGAGGACACATTTCATTAGGCCTGTTTAAACAGTAGGGATAAGGACCCTGTTTCATCCACTACTTTTGTGTGGTTTACTAAACATTTACAACTTGTGATGAAAATGAAGAGGTACATTGAAGGAGAATTCAACATTATTCTTTAAAAACATGTTCACGTTTTGGACTGATAACGTTCCCATATGGGCTAGTCTTCAGTTATAAACAGTTTTCCATAACTTTGAAATTAGACGAAATTAGACCAAATGAAAACATCAAAATAAAACATCACATGTACAAGAGTATCTTGTGGTTACAGTGGTCTAGAAAAATCATCAACATCACTAATACAGGGGTGAAATGCTCCATCTGACATTTATATTTCGCTAAATTGATCAGTCATAACTGATTCCAACATAATAAATCTAGAGTTCTCTCCCTTGTCCTTGACACAGAGTTTCCTGATATAAACTTTCTCTTCTGACAGTAGTCAATAATTCAAAGACAAAGAGTCAATAAATCAAAGGTTGAAACTGACCTCATTTCCAACCCCATACGACTTGTGATTTGGGTAAAATAAATCTCTTATGCAATGAGTGAAAAAATAATGGCCTAATACTCACATTCGTCACCACTCGCCCCTTTCTGTAACCTGCAAGAAGACTCTACCCCCTATTGATGACTGTTTGTGCGAAAATACGACAAACCAATCAGAATGGGCGTATGATTTCGAGTTCTTTGTCAAATAATCCCTCATAAATAATTTTTGATTTTACATATGTCTTGCATCTAAAAATATACCCAAGAAACAATTAAATGTGTTCAATGATACTGTATAATTCCGCATGTCCCGATGTGCTTTAAATTGCATCTGAAATATATATAATATATGGGGAAATATATGTGGACCATTACGCAATGAGTTGACAATTGTTTTAGGTATGCCTATTTGTGCTAAGATGGAACCCAGTCGCAAAAATGGCCACGAGAGGGGCACGAGTCGCTATTCGGCTTGTCCCGGAATAACACGAGTTGGTCACGAATGTAATACTCAGTTGAACAGCCTCTTATTTTGGAACAAGATATTCCACCACCACCACCCACCCTTCTGCCAGCGTGTCTGTGAGGCGAGAGCGAAGTTATCACAGTCCTCCCTGGAGATGTTGTACTTGACCGCCAGGTTCTCAGCCGTGATGCCCATGGGGGTCTTGATGTGCATGTCGGTCAGGCCTGCCCACAGCGTGTCCTCCAGCTGTGGAGGGAAATTAGCTTCTTCTCATGGGGACAGACTAAATCCAACATGGGACATTTCTTCATCAATGTGCTAACAAATATGAGGAAAAAGGATGAAATATATATTGTCAGTATTGATTTGGGCATCTTCCCGAGGCAAGAGAGGTAACTGACTATAAAAGTCCAGTTTCCATCCTTGCCGAACTAGGCTTGTATTATGGAGTTTTTTGGAGTATTTTGGCTGGACTTATAGTCAGTTAACTCTCTTGTAACGGGAAGATGTGATAAGGGTTGTATTTCCCCATAAGACTCTTGAAATAAATAACACTCATGATCAAAATGAAGTGAAAGGTTTCTTGGTGAAAAATGTTGAGGTGAAATGGTGTTTAACGTCGCATTCAAGATTATTGCACTTATATTGCGAGTCCAGACTAATGTTGAGTTTACAGTGCTGGCCCATTGAGATATCATGCTGCAATTTAACATGAATTCCCCCACTCAGACACAGTGTATTGACCAGTCCTTGTTTTAGCTCCTTAATGCCGAGTACCAGGTAGGGTACCATCTTTTAACATCTTTAGGTATCACGTGGCCGAGGATCAAACCCCCCACCATCTGCTCTCTGGGCAGACGCTCCACAAGACCACAGAGGTGATCATTTGTGAAAAAAAATGGTTTAACTGGCCTAAAAAAGTGCTAACCTGGATTCCAAATCTGTGCCATATTTGTAATAAAAGTATTGAAACTCAAAACTGATGCAGAACAAAAATGCTTATGTGAATTGTTCTAGAACATCTGTAATATTAGACTATAAAGATCCGTCTGCTCACCTTGATGTCTGAGCCAAGTTTGGTGCCGAAGCGGATGTTGCGAACAGCGTACGGAGCCTGAGTCATGTTCTCGGATCCCCCGACCAGCACAATGCTGCTCTCTCCCAGCTCTATCTCCTGTGCACACAACAGGTACACTGACATCAGTAACACAGTATGTACAGACTTTAGCTTATGCTGTCATCCATTCTTAGTGATGTGTGAGTGTACATTGACATCAGTAACACAGTATGTACAGACTTTAGCTTATGCTGTCATCCATTCTTACAAGTGAGTGTACATGGATTTATCCTCATTTTTTATGTTTTGGTCTGTGAATAAGATTGAACAAGCCCTACAGTTCCAGCGTTTTTATGTTTTTTCCGCCTTACGGTTATTTGACAAGTTTTTGTCTTTTCAAGGGGTTTGTTTATTGAGGTTTTCTGACATCTCAAGGTACACCCTCCTTCACACCATGCGATACAGATGCATTAAAATGTAATGAGGTATAAGTAAAAAATTTAGTAAAATCTAAATATCTTTTTTCATTCGTATACTTATCCTGCATTACTGCCTCTACGGGCCAACCCATAGCAGACCTGCCTCCCCACTATAGCTTCAGAAACCTTTGTTTGATAAGCTTGGGGGACAACAGTAATATGATTTGATTTGACGTCACATCCGGTCACATGACAGCGGCAATAGTCCTACAAAAAGCAGACTTGAGATGAAAGCAGCCTTTTCTTTTTACACCAAGAAACATCACTAGGTGCCGTCTCTTTTGATGTAAGGTAAGCAGTAAATGCATTCAGGAGTAATGCAGGATAAGTAAAAAATGATATGTATAATGTAATTCAGATGACGTATCATGTTCTTGTTTTATTAGTTATATTTTACAAAGGTCTTATTGAGTGTTAGTGTAAACATATAATAACTACTTGTCATCCAAATCACTGAATCACACCTGTAGCCTTGTCACGCTGTTCAGCAGTGCACATACATACTGCTACATTTGTTTGGCGTAACAGTTATTAAAGTAAACATTAAAGATAAGAAGATAAGAATCAATATTTTTTTCTTGGTGTGTGACTGTGATCAATACCAGTATCAGGAAGTAAAAAATCTCAATCCACCGTTGCACCAGTGTACGGTAGCCTACGGTCATAATGAACTCAAAGGAACCAGTAATTTTAGTTCGTTAAAACCGACGTTTGTTTTGGGCATATATACAGCATATATACAGATAATGGACAGGTCCAAACATACAATTTGTTTTATCCGTCAATTCATGTTCGTTATAAAGGTAGTTTACAGTATATCGTCCCACCACTGGCAACTATACCTGAGCTCCGTTAACGACAGCCTGGAAGCCAGACCCACACAGTCTGTTGACGGTCAGGGCCGGCACCTCCAGGGGCACACCCACTCGCAGCCCGATATGACGGGCGATATACGCTGCATCTGCTGAAGACTGCAACCAAATCACGAGGTCATTAATTCCAACTTTCTTATGTATAATAGAATATGGTGTATGTCATCAAGTACATCAAGTGAAGAAAAAAAGGCAATATGATTTTAGTCTGCAGGGTGTTTTATAATGAGTGAGTATGGTTTTGTGCCACTTTTAGCAATATTCCAGCAATATCACAGCAGGGGACACCGGAAAATGGGCTTCACACATTATACCCATGTGAGGAATTGAACCCCGGTCCTCGGCTTGACGAGCCAACGCATTAACCAGTAGGCTACCCCATCGCCTCTGTTTTATAATGAGGCAGTATATGGTGCCACTTGTTCCCTATTATCAAGCTCTTAAAGTGTGGAAGTCTTTTTTCTAAAACTGCTTACATGTAAGTAAATATTATTAAATGTAAACATACAGCTGTGAAGAATTATTTTTATATTTAGGATTCTTTTCACACCAGACAAAACACGAATTTTAAAAAAACTATCAGTCTGTGGAAAATTAGTGTGAGTGAGTAAATGATTTGGGTTTAACACCGCTTTTTACATTATTCCAGTTATATCATGGCGTGTTGGCTTAATGTGTGAAGAAAGCCCGAAATGATGCAGGTCTCCGACATTTACCTCTTCGGTGAAACCCACGAGCCCGGGCATGGGGTCTGCAAACCTAGAAACATAATCGAGGCGAACTGGGATTCAAACCCACGATCATAGGTTTCTGGCATGCCAAAGGGATGCAACTCTGCACAGCAAATCGCAGCCCCGTGCCCCCGTATAAAATTAGAAGTATCCACACGTGAGGCAGATCTACTCATCTTCACCAGCTGTTCATTCAAGTCACTTTCTAGTGTACATAAGTTAGTTATCAAGAAAAATTTATGTTTTACTGCAATCATTCTTGTAAGTGTGCCGCAATAAGCCTGTCCAAATACTCTTTCAAGTTGCCGCAACATTCGATTTTAATAAAACAATGCAAGGCAATAAAAAAATAATTAAAATTTGGAGCAGCGCATTGTCCTTTCTGTATCATTGGGAAACGCTGTTAGGAGCTGTAGTGACTTAGCCAAGTGCTTTTCTTATCACGTCATTCAATGGCCACATAATATATATTTATCCAATCACGAAAGGTATTGCATTGATTTGTTGTTATGGTTCATCTTTTCTAATCTTTCAAACTTATTGACCATGTTGACTTTTGCCATTGACTTATTACATTTCTTGGGTCTAAATCATCGACCTGTTCACAGATTTATTCGCATGTCAAAATCATTGCACCTGCCTGCCCAAACATACTAAGAAATAAGATTTTTCACAAATAAAGTACCTGAATAACATTTCCAAAGACAACAGAGTTGATGAGTTCAGGATTGACTCCGCCGGCTTCCAGAGCTCCCTGGGCTGCGATTGTGCCGAGGTCGGTCGACGTGAAATCCTTTAGTTTCCCTCCATACGTCCCGAAGGCTGTTCTCCTGGCAGCAACAATGAACACGCCCGACACACCTGCACATACCAAGGTCAGGGCAAATCATGATATTGACAAACATTCTGTGGGATGGGGATTTGTCAACCACGAGTGTACACAAAAATAGATTCTTACATCACTTAACCCTATATCTACTGAAGTTTAGAACCTCTCAACATGTATGTCTATTGTTTTCACAATACTCCACAACAACAAAATGCACAAGATGTTTGTTATCAGGAAATCACCCAATCATCATGATCATATTTTATCATACTGAGTATTTCAGTAATTTCAGGGCATGAAAGCTTAATGTGGGAGGATAGCCCAAACTGGTGCGGATCTCAAGGGAAGAGGAGGTAACTCTTGGTTGACTATTTGGCAATGTCTGTTTATCATGGTTGAGAGAGTCCAGTCGTTACATTATACCATTTATACCTTTTATCAAGTTTAAACATATGAGTCAAATGTAAAATTGCATCCAAATTGAAGTTAATGGTGGACTAAGCGGTTCTTACTGGAACTATATCATTGTCAAAGGCCTAAGACACATTATGTGGGTGTAAACTCAGGTCATTACTTGGGACAAGTTCCGTTAATTATATAAAAAGCAAACCCAACCCATTTTCATTAGTGGTCTGCAGAAGTTATGACTTTTGCACAGTGACATCCCTTTGCTGCTTGTTGACCAAACTCCTTCCCACTGCGTAACGTCTTTGTCACACTCTCAGTAACGTCAGTGTGGGAACGGACATTTCCAGAATCTTGAAATTTGCACTCTAACCCCAAATGTAGTGACGTTTATACTTTTGTTCATGTCTTTGGAAATGCCATCAAAGTTCATTTCTAAAAAGGTTACGACTGACCATATTACCCAGATGAATTTAACGTTTGGTTTGTTTGATCAGATTGGTTCGAGATAACAGACAAACAGAAAATCACCCATCTTCCCCCTTACATTTTTACTATACCAATTACATGATAATAGAAATGAAGTAGAAATTCAAATTGACAAACAAAGAAAATAATTTAGCTATGCCATTAAATCACTAGAGAATATAACATATGGGTCAGTTATTCTCTAACAAAAAAGTAAAGACACTAGACAATGATGACCATTTATGCAGAAAAAAACAGTTAAAAATACTGTATTCCACGTAATAAGCGCCCCGCTCTAATAAGTGCCCACGGCGATATTTGCTAATATATTGGCTAGTGAACAATCCCAATCAGCACCTCTTCCGATTGATCAATGTACGCAAGACTTATTTATTTGTGTATAATACGCACTCATGTGTTATATGCCCCCTTAATTATGGGCAATTAAATTCTGGGAAAATATATCTGTCGTATATAAACAGTCAGGCTGTCAGCATAAACTACAAAATTTATCCATCAACTCTGTTTTTTTCCACCAAAATAATATTCTAATAAGAGCCCCCTATTTCTAATTTTGAGAGCGCCCTGGGCGCTTATTACGTCAAATACGGTAACAACCTTGAGTGCGATACCCGAGATACTAAAAATTGTAATTTGTATAACCATGATAACTGAAGCAGTGCGCCTGATCACCAGGCACATGCTGTAGTGACGATGGGGATAATTATTGGTACAGTTAGTCCATGGGAAGCTTCTATATCCACTGTTTTGATTCCCTATACAGAAATTTACTGAAACTTATTCCACAGACAGAAATAAGCGCATTTGCTCATAGTTTCACAAAAATCAAAGTTATTGATCACATCTTCTCTTGTATCCACATTCAGCCGCTAAACGCACAGGCCGCAGACACCTAAACGAGTCTCCTGGTGGTAATGAAGGCCGGGAATCAACCAAGCGCTAACGGTGAAGTGACACCAATACACAGGATATTCAAAGTCCTTTTACATGCGCTTCAGTGACTTTGCCCACGTATGCTAAAAACCGGGTCCTGCAGTAGGAATTGAAAATCCACATCCCAAAGAGGCCACCCTGACTGTTGATACAACCAGCTTTGAACACGGAATATGTCATAAATCAAATGAAAAAGTGGCGATAACTGGTCGAGTATATAGTATTATAGATCTTTAGCAACAACATTTGAAAAATGTGTATTTCACAAATTAGCTGAGCAATGCTTATACTAACATTTAGTCTCTGAAATCTTATATTACACAATATCCTTCTTGACGATAGCTTAATTTAAAAAAATTCCCTATGCTGATTTCATTGAGCTAGCTAGAGCTGGCTAGACTTGCTTTTGTATGCGTTTCTAGATATATGTTTTTCATAAAATAAATATATTCCACAGTCATGGTGCAGACTAAGCAATGCTAAACATAGCCTCGAATAATGGATAATACATGAATAAGAGTGACAGTCTGTCTACACCAGACTTAGGCCCATAACAGAGGACAAGGAGTATAGAACGCATGCACAGTGCTGATACCGACACTTTGGACTCACTGACAGTCGAAGTGCAAAGTCCAACCTGCAGAACCGTCAGCATTTGAGCTTTTATTTACAGGTGATAGGAAAAAAAACTATTTCGGTTCATTGAAACACAAGTTGCAACACTTCAAAAAGCATATTGTTAGTGAAAAGAATATTGATTTATGTATGTTTGCAGAGGACAAATTGATAATAGCATTTCTTGTTAATTTTGATGAATAACAACATTGAGTGCGATACCCGAGATACTAAAAATTGTAATTTGTATTACCATGATAACTGAATCAGTGCGAGTGATCATCAGGCACATGCTGTAGTGACGATGGGGATAATTATTGGTACAGTGAGTGAGTGAGTTAATATTTAACGTCACATCGGCAATATTTCAGCCATATCGTGACGATATTGGTACAGTAAGTCCATGGGAAGGTTCTATATCCACTGTTTTGATTCCCCATACAGAAATCTACTGAAACTTATTCCACAGACAGAAATAAGCGCATTTGCTCGAAGTTTCACAAAAATCAAAGTTATTGATACAGCCAAATATGAACACAGAATATGTCATAAATAAAATGAAAAAGTGGCGATAACTGGTCGAGTATATAGTATTATAGATCTTCATCAACAACATTTAAAAAATGTTTATTTCACAAATAAGCTGAGTGAGTGAGTATTGTTTTACGCCGCTTTTAGCAATATTCCAGCAATATCACGGCGGGGGACACCAGAAATGGGCAAATTAGCTGAGCAATGCTTAGACTAACATTTAGTCTCTGAAATCTTATATTACACAACATTTGCACAATATCCTTCTTGACTCTAAAAATATTTTTTTTAAATTCCCTATGCTGATTTCATAGAGCTAGCTATGCTATCTAGACTTGCTTTTGTTTGCGTTTCTAGATAATAAAAGTTTCGTAAAATAAATGAATTCCACAGTCATGGTGCAGACTAAGCAATGCTAAACATAGCCTCGAATAATGGATAATACATGAATAAGAGTGACAGTCTGTCTACACCAGACTTAGGCCCATAACAGAGGACAAGGAGTATAGAACGCATGCACAGTGCTGATACCGACACTTTGGACTCACTGACAGTCAAAGTGCAAAGTCCAACCTGCAGAACCGTCAGTATTCATGGTATTTGAGCTTTTACTTACAGGTGATAGGAAAAAACCCTATTTCGTTTCATTGAAACACAAGTTGCAACACTTCAAAAAGCATATTGTTAGTGAAAAGGAAGCATCTGTTTAAGTGACATATTATCAATGAAATGCTCGAATGTCGAGAGCATGTTTTACGTGTTGCTTACCTCTGGACAGCGCCATGATGAACTTTGAACTCCAAGATTGTTCCATAGAGTTATGTCCCCTTGTGAAGTACACCGTGAACGCCTTTCGTTTGTCGGTAACACAGACCTAAGGCAAATATACCATACAATTCTCTTGTAAGACTGTGACAGTTTAACATAAAGATATTTTTCAGCTACATCTGCTGCAAAATGACATATCTTTTTGATTAAAACAATGAGCCTAAATATCTTTTATTTTAAAGAAAAACACTTTGCGACTACATTTTCTGGCAATTGTTTTTTTTCATGACATGACAAATTTTTATTAAACTTCAGGAACAATTTTTTTCCATCAAATTCCCCACCACCAAGCACATATAATCATTTTGATAATTATTAATATGTTATGCACTGAGAGATTGCTTCTGCATGATCTAGTTAATTCATAAACTGCTACTTATATACATTAACACATTTGACACACACCATGGAATTGAACTGCTTGAAAGAAGCTTGCTGTTCCTGCCTCATAATGTCAAATAACAAATAATAGGATAGCAGACTGTCCTCGACCAGCGAAAATGTCGGGGGGACTTACAATGTGAGTGAGTATGGTTTTATGCCGCTTTTAATAATATTCCAGCAATATCACGGCGGACACCAGAAATGGGATTCGCACATTGTACCCATGCATGCGGGGAAGCGCGCGAACCCGGTCTTCGGCGTGACGACCAAACGCTTTAACCACAATGCCACCATACCGCTACAGATCAGGATTTTCAAGGATCACGGTTGACCATCAATGTATGTGTAGATCTAAGATAGTGAGAATTCCATTTCAGTTACATAAGGGTGAAATAGTGGAAGGCCCATGCAAGTATCACCAACTCGGTCATGCAGCCGAACACGGGTATCGTGCCAACAAAACAAGGATCGTAACTGTGCCGAATCCTGCCTCGGAGTAAGGGACCCAACTCTGCTTCACGGTGAAATACAGCGCTAATTCACAATACTATCTCATCCTCGATTATCCGTGAAGATCCGGGGTAGAATAAATAGGTCTTCGGCAACACATGCTTGCCCTAAAAGGCGACTGTGCTCGTCGTAACTGGCGACTAATGGGATTGGGTTGTCAGGCTCGCTGACTTGGTTGATGCATATCATCGTATCCCAATTGCGCGGATCGATGATGATGATGTCAATCACTGGATTGTCTGGTCCTCGATTATTTCCAGACCGCCGTCATATAGCTGGAATATTGCTGAGTGCGGCGTTAAAAAACAAACAAACAGTTAAAACTATTATGACTCTATCAAATTCTGCTGAACAACGTCGAGTCATTCGCTAACGTAACGTATTGTATGTAACGTCCATTTCCCGAAGACCGCCTACGTGGTCTAGTGGTCCGCCCGGAGAGCGGAAGGTCCGGGGTTCGATCCCCGACAGCGTCATACCAAAATACGTTAAATAATGGTACTTGTTGTTGCCCTGTCTGGCGCTCGACATTAAGGGGATAAAACAAGGACTGGTCGGCTCAGTATTCTGTTTCTGAGTAGGGTATTCATGTTAAACTGCGGCATGGTATCTCATTTGGCTTGCACTTTAAAATTGGCATTAGTCCGGACTAGTACAAGAAGCCACACACACACACACACACACACACACACACACACACACACGTGCATGCACGTCGCTATATAAGTGCAATAATCTTGGACGCGACGTTAAACCCAATTTTACTTCCATCTCCCGTATCAGTAACCTCCATTTGTTACTACCCAAAAGAATTTAAAGACAAATCCTAACCCTGGCAGTGGTTTTATATATATATGTCATTCGCTACATAAACGCCACATACAATACGTAACGGTATCGAATGAGCCCATACATATTATTCTTCAGCATGTTCTACTTAGGGTAGGGTAGCCTAGTGGTTAAAGCGTTCGCTCGTCACGCCGAAGACCCGGGTTCGATTCCCGACATGGGTACAATGTGTGAAACCCATTTCTGGTCCTCCGCCGTGATATTGCTGGAATATTGCTAAAAGCCGCGTAAAAAAACATACTCACTCACTCACTCACTCTACACTCTACTATCCTGTGTTAAACTTTTATGTATAATTAGTGATTACGATAGCTTAAATGTAGTTCATGTGTCCTTCATGTTGTAAGCCTATAATATATCCAAACCATGACGTACTCAACCGATTGGCCTAGCTAAGCCTCTAAAGATAAGCTTTGTCTCTCTGCATGTACTCATTCTGCATCGACCACTTGTCAGCAAACCAGTATAGTCAGGTTACTTTACTATGTTTATGTTGTAATGTATGTTATTTCATTTAAATGTTGCAGATTAAAGCATTATATATTTTATTCAGTCTTATTAAAATCATATCTAAGTTCTCGCTGCCGCCAAACAAAGCGATAGCGAGAACTAAGATCTGATTTTAATGAGACTGGTATTTTACTTTACCAAACAAATCAGCATGTTATCATTGTAGGCAATACGCATACAAAATGTCATCAGATTGAATAAAAAAAGGGGGAAGGGGTTAAGACAACTCGTGTGACCAGTTTCTTACGAATCGGAATCAAAATAAATAACGAATAAAATCGAAGCTATGGAAGCGAATAGTCCATGGTATTTATCAAATTTACACTGGATATCAGAGACCGTATTAAAAAGTATTTGATGGTCTCTGTGGATACGTACCGAAATAAAAAGATTAAAATATTGATATTATACATTGGATTATGAGTGAGTGAGTGAGTTGGGTTTAACGCCGCTTTTAACAGTATTCCAGTTATATCACGGCGTGTCAGCTAAATGTGGGAGGAAAACCCGAAGTGATGCAGCCCTCGGACGTTTACCACTTTGGTGACTTTGGCGCTGACAAACCTAGAAACATAATCGGGGCGAATCGGGATTCGAACCCACAATCATAGGTTTCTGGCGTGCCCAAGGGACGCAACTCTGCACAGCGAATCGCGGCGCCTTAGACGACTGGGCCACCCGTGCCCCCTTGGATTATGAAGGATGAACTTCATGACACAATGCTATTATTGTAGTCCCTGAACATCGCTGTAGTCACTGACAGATCCAGACGGGTTCGGGAGTGCGCTCCCCAATCTAATTCAAATCAGATCTTAGTTCTCGTTACCGCTAAACAAAGATGTTCGGACGCCTATGCCTCGCAGTCTCTGTTCCCATGGGGCACATTGCGTCAACATGTAAAACACGACAACTCTACTGGCTCTTCCAAAACGCATCCATACACGACTGCATGGTATCAGGTCTTGTATGTGCATGCCTATCCAGCCAGGTCAGATCTGACATTTAGTTGGCCATTTGAAAACTGCCACGCCTTGGCGATGTGAAGAGGAACCAGGCCATTGTCAAGGTGAGGCAACAACAGAGATTTGGCCATGGCAGCTGGAGTTGCCGGATTATCTGTACAGTGACACTGTCTAAAGGCAACAACAGAGATATAGGCCATGATGGCTGGAGTTGCCGGATTATCTGTACAGTGACACTGTCTAAAGGCAACAACAGAGATATAGGCCATGATGGCTGGAGTTGCCGGATTATCTGTACAGTGACACTGTCTGAAGGCAACAACAGAGATATAGGCCATGGTGGCTGGGGTTGCCGGACTATCTGTACAGTGACACTGTCTAAAGGAAACAATAGATATATCGGCCATGATGCCTTGGGTTGCATTATACCACATATACAGTGACACTATCTGAAGGCAACAACAGAGATATAGGCCATGATGGCTGGGGTTGTCGGACTATTTGTACAGTGACACTGTCTGAAGCCAACAACAGAGATTTGACCATGGCAGCTGGGGTGGCATCAGACTATCTGTACAGTGACACTGTCTAAAGGCAACAACAGAGATATAGGCCATGATGGCTGGGGTGGCATCAGACTATCTGTACAGTGACACTGTCTGAAGCCAACAACAGAGATATAGGCCATGATGGCTGGAGTTGCCGGACTATCTGTACAGTGACACTGTCTAAAGGCAACAACAGAGATATAGGCCATGATGGCTGGGGTTGCATCACTATCTGTACAGTGACACTGTCTGAAGGCAACAACAGAGATAAAGGCCATGATGGCTGGAGTTGCCGGACTTTCTGTACAGTGACACTGTCTGAAGGCAACAACAGAGATTTGACCATGGCAGCTGGGGTGGCATCAGACTATCTGTACAGTGACACTGTCTGAAGGCAATAACAGAGATATAGGCCATGATGGCTGGGGTTGCATCAGACTATCTGTACAGTGACACTGTCTGAAGCCAACAACAGAGATTTGACCATGGCAGCTGGGGTGGCATCAGGCTATCTGTACAGTGACACTGTCTAAAGGCAATAACAGAGATATAGGCCATGATGGCTGGGGTTGCATCAGACTATCTGTACAGTGACACTGTCTGAAGGCAACAACAGATATATTGGCCATGATGGCTGGGGTTGCATCACTATCTGTACAGTGACACTGTCTGAAGGCAACAACAGAGATATAGGCCATGATGGCTGGAGTTGCCGGACTATCTGTACAGTGACACTGTCTGAAGCCAACAACAGAGATTTGACCATGGCAGCTGGGGTGGCATCAGACTATCTGTACAGTGACACTGTCTGAAGGCAATAACAGAGATATCGGCCATGATGGCTGGGGTTGCACGACTATCTGTACAGTATCACTGTCTGAAGGCAATAACAGAGATATCAGCCATGATGGCTAGGGTTGCATCAGACTATCTGTACAGTGACACTGTCTGAAGGCAACAACAGAGATATAGGCCATGATGTCTGGGGTTGCATGAAACCACCTCTACAGTGACATCATAGACCTGTTTGTTGGATGATGTCCCATGCTTGTCATAAGAGGTGACTATGCTTGTTGTAAATGGTGACTGGGATCAGGTGGTCAGACTTGCTGTCTTGGTTGGTGCATGACATCATGATCCAATTGCAAAGATTGATTCTTATGATGTCAATCACTAGATTGTCTAGTTCAGACTCGATTATTGACAGACTGCTGTCATATAGCTGGAACATTGCTGAGT